TGCCTGAAACATCAGCTCATATTGCGTGGCTCACCTCAACCCTCCCTTTCTCTGCAAGGTCTCATCTCCCACCCCAGGTAGAACTGACTACATTCTTTGGCTCCATCTCTACACATGCATTGTCAGCATCAGCTGGCCTTTCCTGGACTGTAAGCTCCTTGAAGACAATGCCTCTGTCACAGGCATCTCTGTGCTCTGGTTTCCAGCTCATAGTACAAACAAAATAAATATTCATTGACTGAAGAAAGAATTCAAAGTGGAGTCCAACCTGTGAGAAAATGCTAATTAAATGTTATGACAATAGAACAAGTGTTGATCAAAACAGCGTCCGGAATCATCACAAAGGCCTGTCTGCAGATAGCTCTGTTATTAGTAAATCCGTGAAGCTTCAGTTTGTATTAGTAAACAAGTCAGGTGGGTATTCTCTATAACGTGAGCTGACTTTCAGGGACAGAAAATGAGGATGGTGTCTCATACTGGCTTGCTTCCTTAGCAATTTGTGAAAACAAAACCCAACAAAACAATTCTCCCTTTCCCAAAAGTTGGCACTGGCTCAAGTTTTCTTTTCCAAAATACTTTCTTTGGTCAAGCAACACTCCCCACGCTATAGCTGTTAGGCATTAGTGTGCTCTGAATCCATTAGAGAAGGTCAGTCCAGAATACTAAACAGATGCACAGCCCTGAGTCTTGAGAACTGGCGTTTCACAATTGCAATGCATAACAATAGTCGTCATCTTTGTTCATGCTGCTCTAAGCTTCACCACAAGCAGGCGTACTTTAGAGACTGGCTCCTTGAGCTGTACTGATTTCCACATGGGAAGTGAGGAACAATTAATTTGAGGCAGAAAAATAATTCAGGAATGTGTTTTGGCTTTACATGCACACACATGACAAAAACAACACTTTAAATTCAGTCAACATCACAGAGACAACATGGACACCAAAAGAGCAAGGATTTTTTTTTCATAGCAAACCTTTGTACTAAATATATACACATATAAATAAAGCAAAAACAAAACAAAAACCTTCCTACCCCAGACTACCTATTAATTTTAGATGGAAAAGCCCTAGGCAGTAAGAAAAAAAAAACATAACCCAGGCATTAAGTAGATCGGATAGTTAATTTGGAGTGAATGGAAAGGGCTAGATAATATTAAGTTGTCATGGTAGAAAGTAAGTTTTGGACATTCTGCTTTCACATTACTATCTAAACTTGTAAAAATACTCAGAGAAGCAGAAAGGAGGACTAAATTTAGACCCTTACTTAATGCATTCAAGAGCATGATTCATTTTTCTCCTGCCCTGCTACAGCCTGGGGAATCTGAATATACAGCCAGCAGCACATGGATGCCCTGTAAATAAATGAAAGTTGCATTCATTCAGGGGCTGGAGAAAGCCAGAGACACCCCGTTTTCCCTGCCAACAAAGGTACACTTTTAGGTACCTCACACACCAGAATGCAGAACCAGATTTCTAAGCTGGCAAGAGTCCATCTAATTTTAGCTTTGCTCCGGCCTTGGCATGAAATGCTGCTGGGCTGGAAATGAATTCTGCTGTTCCTCTCTTCTAAGTGGCTTTTCCCCTCAAGCTCCAGTGGGATCCTGACCAGCTCTGAGAGGCCATGTCTCATGGGTCACACAAATGAGACTACCGAAAAGGGTGTCATCATTTGGTAGCCATGCATTTAACAACCAGGATCCCAAGTTGCTTCATGGCAGCCCTTAGGTTGGGTCTTGGAGAGCTAGGATTCTATATAGCAAACACGTGAGGACAATCTTGGGCTCTTTGAAAGAAACCAAACAAACCGAAAAGGAACCAACCACACAACAACAGCAAGTTGCATTCCCACGAATTAAATCAGGGCGGTAGACAAAGTTTCCGGGTAGAGCAGACAGTCACAGTCCCTTCCCCAGGTTCCTCATCGTCTGCTTCCAATCACATTCTCTCACTCTCCTCCGCTGCCTAAACCCAAAGCAAACATTTCAGCCTCCACAGAGAACTGGGATGAAGGCTGAACTATCATTTGTGTAGAGTCCAACACAGCTTAGAGGCGAAAAGCACCTAAATTATGTTGTGACTTTACAGCGAGTCCATTTTCTTTCCTTTTGGTTTAGTTTTAAGCACATTTGGAAAGTAACCTTACAAGTTTCATTCCAGTATCTTAGGCTTTATTGATCTTATCGATCTTTGGTCTCTGTGTTTAGAACAAATAACAGAAGAAAAGGTGGAAGGCATATCAAAAACCTGTAGTAAGGTAAAATTGCCTCCCAGAAGTGAGGGCATCAAAGCCGCCCTCTCTTCTGAGGTGTGTGATTGATGTTAAAAACCCACCCCAAGGGCCCTATTGTACATCCATATACGTCCAACCCAATTAAGAAAGAGCATTTTCCCAAACATGAAATGGGCTCGGCAATTCTGAAGTAAAAAACAAAAAGAGTTAGCTATGGAGCACGTGCATTCCGTTAGAAATGAGTCACTCTGCGAAGGTGTGTTTGAATGAGCAGCACTTCAGAAGGCCCACAAGGGGTACACCCACAGGATGGGACTGGCAGACCCTGGGCAGGGCTGTGGGTCCAGGCAGATATGAGATCCGATCAGCCTGAAAACATGCTTCACAAACCAACCTGGACACGACACAGGAAAGAGGCAAGACATCATAGGGCAGCATAAACGATTTGTGCCTTTCTCAAATAGCTCGGTAGTTGGGACTCCAGAGCAGTTCTGAATGACCAGGTAGGGCAGTCACCCAATCCCCACTGGGCCCATCCAGGGCCATAACATGAATATCAAATCATTTGGAGGACAGGAATATTCAATGACTTGGGCCAAATGTCATGACAGGTTTTGGGGGCAGCCTTCTATATCCATTTGAGAAAGGACAAATACTCGTTAGCACTAGACAGAAAACTGGCTGATTTAGCTTAGAACAGTGGCTACCATTGTAGCACGTTCAGAACATCGAAAAGGAAGGTGAGTGGTTGGGGAAGGGCATCGTGAAGGCTGCATCTATCCAAGGCTGGGTCAGTTATACATTGGGATTTGGAGTTGAAATTTATTCTCACACACGTAGAGCTCCGCAGATCTAATTAACAGGGTGGGAAATCTATTTTCATATTTCACTCACACAAAACACTTCTTCTCTGTCTCCAGGGGGTTTTCAAGTTCTAAACTACAATCAGCCCTTCTTTTAAAATGACAATAATAAATCCTCTTATTCAGCCAGATGGTGGTGTTTGTTGCACTAGGCTGGGTTCATAGTACAACATCAATAAATGGCCACTTGTAGAGGGACAGACAGAATCCCATTTATAATACACACCTACACCTCCCTCCTTCTCCCATCCCAAAATGGGGCATTGTCAAAACATCCTTGGGGGCTTAATCTCTTTCTGGAGCAGAAAGGAAAACTAAAAAAGGCAAAATAATATAACTAAGTGGAAAAACAACTTCTCAGGGGCAAATAGCACATTTAATCCCTGAGGAGAATGGTCATAGGTGGGTTTTGAAAAAGTGTTGTTTCACCTTTATGGACCATTTGAAAGCAGGCTCTCAAAAGGATTTTTCCCAGTCCCTGGCAAGCTGTCTTGGTGAAGGCTGCACATTGTCAGCCAAAGGTATTACAACCAGGAGATGGAGTTAAAATTCTTCCTCAGTGAGTTGGCTAAGTCTCATGAAACAAGTATTTGTTCCAATTAGGTGTTCCAAAAAGTCTTGATTGCCTTAGATAACGCATTTTGAGAAGGAAAGTGTGTTTGTTCAAAATCCATCGTGGAAGAATAAATGACGTACCGGTGTGTTCTGTTGCCAGGGTACACATCCTCTTCACAGGCCTGGAGGACTCACACTCTTTGCTGCCTTGTCCCTGTTTTCCTGGTCTCAGTCCTACCCAGGATGGGCAGTGGGAGGGGGCATGCTAACTAGTCTCTGCTCCTGCTCTTAATAAGCTATACTACCTGGTTATGTAACCCTAATCCGTGTCCACAGTCCAGGGCTCAGATGGCTGGTCTGTCAGCAAAAAATGTCTGAAAAATGTTAATTCAACAATGTTGGAGGGAGATGTTATTTCCAGAACTAAACTCCTCAGGGGAAATGAGAAATTGTTGCTCCTGGGATTCAACTCCTCCACACTGAAAGATGTTTCTTTAATGATGCTTTCTTCCCAAAAAATTTCCCAATGCCTGGTGTGTCCTGACATTTGGTCCAAATAAAATCCTGGAACAGACTCCTAGGATACAACTATCTTCAAACTCCATACAAAAGGAGTGTTTATTACAGAGAATCAGCATCTATTAGGGCATGAAACCTTGGGGGCCTGCCGGCGTTCATTCCCCACGCTGAATCGTTTCATAATATAGATACTATTTTCTTTTTGGCATTTATAGCAAGCAACTCAGTTTATGACCTAAGGCGTTTTCCATACTTCCAGGCAATGAATACTAGCTTCCTATGAGTCTCAATAGCACATAATTTAAGACAGTGGGAAAGGGAGTTGGAGAATAGTTTCCAGTGCAAGAAAAATACCATGCAGATGTTTGCCCTTACTCTTGAATTCTGATGGTGAAATTGAGCATTGTTTATTTGTTCTGAAGTCCAACTCAAGAAATTTATTTTCTAAAGGCTGGGGCTGGTGGCTGGGGTAGAGGTGGGGAGGTAGTGACATAAAATATTCCTGATACTGAAATATTCAACACATGGCCCTGGGATTTTGAATCATAAAGTAATTTAGATCTTTTTAAGTGGTTCATTTTTTGATGAAATTTGGCATACCAGATGTCGATTTGTGTCACAGAACATGACATACGTAAGAAATACCCAAGAACTACTTTGCTAAAATTGTATATTCACCTTCTGTAATTTTTTTTCCTCCAAGATAGCAAGCTAGGAATCAGTCCTCTATCTTGAGCCATTTATTGAGAACAAACAAATGAACTTGGAAAAGACACAACCGAATTGAATTTAAATACCTGACTTTGGTGTATGAGAATCATAAACTTGCTTACGGTCTATCTGGTCCGCAAACACTTCCCCATAAATCATCCAATAGGGCATGTAGAAGATGTTCTTGGCCAGTTTCCATGATGGCTCCTCATTGGGAAAAAGGATGGCTTGCCTGGCAACTCCAAAGCTCATCAGCACCACCAGCATAATGATGACAAAGTACATCATGTCTATCATCTGGAAGGGTGGGGAAGCAGAGGGAGAAACAATAGAAAACCCATATGATTGAGTGTTCTTATAAATGCTGACAATGATGGGAACCTCTGGAGGAGGTCCACTTTCTAGACTGCTGGTAAGGGATGTTTAGACAGGCAGTTGTGTCCAGATAAGAAGATGCTTGGTCTATTGAAGCCAGTGTCCACAGAATTCTATCAGTGATTCAAAAAACGGTTTAAAAAGTACAACACAAATGAAGCCTCTTCATTTTTCATTGCTGTCTGTAGGACCGAGTCAAGGCTAGGCATAGGAGTCACATAAATGGAAGCTTAGGCCTCTATGTGAATCAGGTGCTTTTTCTCTACTCCTGGAGGAGGCCAGTGTCCTCTTTGGGTCTCTTTATTCTTAGAGAAATTGGAATTGGGATAGTTGAACTATTCCAAGAATGACTGCAATGCTGCAAACCTCCTTTCTAAGTTCTAAAAGGCTAATGAATAATTGGAAAGCTCAAAAAACAAAAGCAAAACAAAACAAAACAAACAAAAAAATAAACTGCTTATAAACAAAGCTAGGATAAACCAAATATCCATTATATTCTTACTCTTGTGACCCCACCCCACTGCATAGTATTCTACCACCAATCAGTCTCTCAGACAGAACCGCTGTTTGTATACTTCTCCTGCCGTGTACCCCATTGGCTATGGAGGGTGTTTTCTTGGGCGTTAGAATCATGCACCCTAATGAGTCAGACCTGTACCTGCTGTAGAAATGATGGATTTTCATCTTGACATGTTTATAAAGTCCTCCAGGCTGCTCTCTAAAATAATGTTATCTCTTGTTCCTCTTTCTTCCTTGTTTCTTTCCATGATGTATGTTATTTGGGATCTGTTTCTTAAATGCCAAATTATTTTCCTTTTATCACTCAAAATATTAAAAAGATGAGGATGCAATAACTATTGATTTTTCCTGGCCAGAACCCATTACCTCCTCCTTTTATAAACAGTTTCTACCCAGTATGGCCACAAGGTAGGTGTGTTTTCCAGGCTGCATTAAATATGGTACTGGCCCCGGCAAGAGTGATAGAAGGCAGGGATGTGACCAAGACAGGCCAACCAGAATCCTTTTATTGGCTTTGCTTTGTTTTGTTTTTAACTAAAGCTGGGAGAAAGAAGTTCCTTTTGTCTCTGTAATGGGGTGAGTTCATTGTCTCTGATGCTGAGTCCTCTGCCAGTGAAACTGATCAGAGTAAATGAAGCCGATTTGCAAGAGAAAGAGAGCAAATCCTGACAGTGGTTGGGTCCCTGCTTGTAGCAGCCCCTAAGGCCAGTTTCATTATGCCCTTCAGTAAGTCAATATATCCCTTCTAGGCTTAAGCTAGTTGGAGATTGGTTTCTATCATTTGCATCAAAATATAGAATACAAAAGACTTTCTCTTAGATATTATACTTCCTGAAGGGATGCCCATCCACAAAAAAAGCCTAATGCTAATTTTATCAATGATAATGGAGGCTTCAAATTAGTCTTACAATTTTATTTTTTAATTTTTATTTTATTATTATTATTTTTGAGATGGAGTCTTGCTCTGTCACCCAGGCTGGAGTGCAGTGGAACAATCTCGGCTCACTGCGACCTCTGCTTCCTGGGTTCAAGCAATTGTCTGCCTCAGCCTCCTGAATAGCTGGGATTATAGGCGTGCACCACCATGCCCGGCTAATTTTTTTTGTATTTTTAGTTGAGATGGGGTTTCACCATCTTGGCTAGGCTGACCTCGTGAGCCACTCGTCTCAGCCTCCCAAAGTGCTGGGATTACAGGCATGAGCCACTGTGCCTGGCCACAATTTTAATTTAAAAGAGTACATTCTATGGTGTCTGTTATCGGAATTTAAACATTATAGCTTTCCTTGTATGCATTAGGACACTGGGGTCTAAACTAGTTTCAAGGCAATTTCAAAATGCATCTCACAAGTATTGCATGACTTCAAAACCAAACAGGAATATCTTAAAATCTGACATCTATTCATATTTTAAAATTGTCTTTAAAGTTGTATGCTAATTAGTTTTATCTTATATAGTTTAGTGGTCTCAGAACTCTTTTAAAGTGAGCAAGCTAGCTGTGTCGAAACAGTTTTATAGGAAACATGGGTCTGTTTTTCATCCTCTCTCTCTTTCTCTTATTTTATAAAATTCTTTCATCATTTATTTACAAAAAATTCTATCAATGAAAAAGCACACATGGGTCCTTCATGTTGTGTTTATTTACATTGATTAAAAGATGGGTTGGGAGAGGAAGGTTTGTGCTCATGAGATTTAGAAGCTAGTTTGACCTAAGGAAACTCAGCCAGTAAATACAGAAACTGTTCTAATTTAATTTCTCAGGGTTGTTTTTGTTCAGATTGATTGTGCTGTCTATCCAGAGGGTCAAAACAATCAAAGAGAAGAAACATTCTTCCCAAACACTTAGCTTCATGTATTTCAAAGAAGTCTTAGCTTTCATACAAATAACAAAATCTGATAGAGTGGAGTGCAGAAATAGAGCATTATTAGTGGGAACTGGGGCTGGCCTCCTCTTTTTAAAGCTAAATTGTCCAGTTGGTTCAATATTAAGAGAGATGATTCTGTCCTAATCTTGTAAATATCTTTCTGTTGTGTTCTACAGAAGAGAGCATATAATATATATAATATATAATGTGTATATTATATATAATGTACTATATATAATATATACAATTATGTATTATATATAATATATACATATATTTTACACTCTTCTGTAGAACATACATAATATATACATGTTATATAATATATACATATCTACATTATATATAATATATACATATTATCTAGCTTATATACATTATATATAACATGTGCATATTGTATATTATATAATATAGATAATATACACATATGCATGTTATATATAATATGCATTATATAATATACATTATATAATACATTATATATAATGTATATATAATATATGATATATTTTTTATATATACTGTAGTGGTTAAACACATATACTTTGGTGTCAGAATACCTGGGTTTTCATCTTGACTATGCTAGTAAAAATAGCTACATGGAAAAAAATCCACACAAAAAGAGTAAAAATAATTACAAAAACAAAATACAACCTTTCTTAAACATTAAAAAAAAACAAAGGAAAGAAAGAGAAATATAGCTAGGTGTCCTTGAACAAGCTGCTTAATCTAGTTTTATTTGTAAACTAGGAATAATAATAACACATTTATTTTATGAAGATTAAATGAGTTGGCATGTGAAACAACGTGGTAAGTTCGTCATAAATGTTAACGTATTCTTATTATTAGAGTTGGAAGGAGGTCAGGCTGTGGAGTCAGAGAGAAATTTGAATCCTATTATTGTCCCTTGCTTAGTCTCTTATTCAATTGTTTATTAAATTATTAAACACAGATACGAAAACCTATTTCCGGGGGGTATGATGATGACATGTCTGACATGGTATCTGGCACACAGCAAATGATAGCTATTATTATTGTTTTTATTCTGCATTATGTAAGTGAGCTTAGTACTAGGCTTAGAGAATTCCATTGAGAAGTGGAATATGGAGGAAAGGAGTCAGGATTTTGTTCAGTGATTCTGGACCAGCAGCAGATCAGTGGGAGTCTTTCCGGATATGCAGGCTTTCGGTGCTGGGAGGCATTTGGTGTACTGGCTTCTTATATTATGCAAAGATTCATAGTACCAGTTTCAAAATGGACTCCTAACGATTGTGTGTCCAGGAATCTCATCAGCTGTCTGTCCCTAGGCCATAAGGCAGGGACTTACTTGCCTGTTTTGTGCTGAATGGGAACTCCCTAATGTGGAGAGGCTTTCGGTATAACACATCTGGGCACATTTTCTTAAGTTCCAGCCTGGTAGTCCATCTGGCTCATTGAAAAATTCTATAGGCATATTTTATGTACCTTCTGGATCAGTGCATCAATTATTGAACTTATCTTAAAAGCCTCTTGAAAGAGAAGCAAAGTCCCCAAATATACTCATTTTCTACTTATTCTTGACGGATAAATTAAGTCATTCATAAGTTAAAAGGTAGAGAAAATGCAGTGCATTCCTCTTGCACACTCCTGAGTAAGGTTTCATTCTAGTCAAAACTGGGATAATTATGCCATTATTAAGGTGATAGACATGGATTTTAGAATAATCTCACTGCATTAGCATAACTTTAGTTATCCCAAATATATAAATGTTACCAAGGCTTTAAAGGGTAATATATTTGGCTTGTTTGGGTCTTTTCAGATTTTATTTGTTAAAATAAAATAAGGTAGCAATCAGAAAAAACAACCAATCTGAGTATGTAATCACAGAATGCAGTAATTCTCAACAGAGGCCAATTTCATTCCCTGGGGGACACGTGGAGATGTCTGGAGACATTTTTGTAGTCATAGCTGCGTGTGTGTGTGTGTGTGTGCACATGTGCATGCTACTGGCATCCACTGGGTAGACACTGCTAAATATCCTATGATACACAGGACAGCTTCCTAAAATAAGGAATTATCCAGCCCGCAATATCAGCAGTGTCAAGGTTGAGAAAACGTGGCCTAATTTTATAACTATTATAGTTCTTTGCCTTCATTGAGTCCACTTGAAAATACATTTGAGAATCTCATGAAAACTTGTCCCCTCTGTCCAGAAAATTCACACACCCACACATTTTTATATATAAATTGCAGAGAGGGTCCACAGATTCTACCTCCTAAGCCCTATCCATAGACTCTAAATCTAGACTCTCTGCTTTTAGACAAGAATTTTCACCACAATCTCAAATTCATTGTTAAAGTGCAAAGAAGATGATATAACAGGCAGTATAATAGAGTAAGATACACATTTTTTTCCTAGTCAAAAAATCCCCAATTGAACTGGGGTTCTGTTTTGGGTAAGTAACTCAAGCTCATGAATTCGAGTTTTTTTCTCTCTAGAATGAGTTTGGTGATATTTGCCCTAAACAGTGCTGGTGTTATAAATACCATTTGTACAGTAGGGTTAAGAATATGGCATAATAATTATACTCACCAATTTTTCCTTTTTTTCATTGTATTTAGAAAATGCAGTTTGAACATAACGATAACAGATGTAATTTGTCAACCACCAGCTATGAGCCAGACACAGCTGGTCATTTAGTATGTATTATTTCTAATAATTACAACAATAACCCTATAAGATATGCATTTTTATTATACATCACTACTTTAGAAACAAGTAAATCAAATCTCAAAGGGGTTTAAATAAATTGCTCAATGTGTTATATCCAATTCATTTTGAATTCAAATTCTTCTGCTCTTAGCATGAGTTTGTCAGTGATTTTGTAGGAAAAGTCGTGGTTATTTAAGATTCATTGCAGTAGAGATACACATACACATACATACACAGAGCTGTTCCATAAATATTGAGTTAGCAATGATATATATAGTAAATCTTGAGTAATAATGATAAAGAACATCAGCCAGGCATAGTGACTCACACCTGTAATCCCAGCACTTTGGGAGGCTGAGGCAGGTAGAGCACTTGAGGTCAGGAGTTTGAGACCAGCCTGGCCAACCTAGTGAAACCTCGTTTCTAATAAAAACAAAAAATTAGCCTGGCATGGTGGCAGGTGACTGTAGTCCCAGCTTCTCGGGAGGTTGAGGCAGGAGAATTGCTAGAACCCGGGAGGCAGAGGTGGCACCACTGCATTCCAGCCTGGGTGATGGAGTGAAACACTGTCTTAAAAAGAACATCTATTAACTAATCGTTGGTTTCAATGGCTCAAGTGAAGTGAAAGATATTAGCAAAGAGGTTTTTCTTTATCTTTTTTTGAGAAAAAATATCTCACCACTGTCTTAAACTCTGGGCTCAGGTGACCCTCCCACCTCAGGCTCCCAGGTAGCTGGGATCACAGGCTCATGTCACCACACCCTGCTAATTTTTCTTTTCTTTTTCTTTTTTTTTGTTTTTGAGACAGAGTTTTGCTCTTCTTGCCCAGGCTGAAGTGCAATGGCATGATCTTGGCTCACTGCAACCTCTGCCTCCTGGGTTCAAGTGATTCTCCTGCCTCAGCCTCCCAAGTAGCTGGGATTACAGGCATATGCCACCATGCCCAGCTAATTTTGTATTTTTAGTAGAGATGGGGTTTCTTCATATTGATCAGGCTGGTCTCGAACTCCTACTCCTGACCTCAGGTGATCCTCCCGCCTCGGCCTCCCAAAATGCTGGGATTACAGGCATGAGCCACGATGCCCAGCCCTAATTTTTCATTAGTTTTTGTATCATCAGGGTCTCACTGTGCTGCCTAAGCTGGTCTGAGAGTCCTGAGCTCAAGCGATCTGCTTGCCTTAGCATCCCACAGTGCTGGAATTGCAGGCATGACCCACCATGTCTGACCAGGAAAAAGGTTTTTCAGTAAGAGGTGTTCGTCATGGTAGAACAGATGTACTTGGCTTTTCCACATATATCTTGTAAAGGTGAAGAAGGGGACACACTCAAAACTGGGAGAACTGATTAAAAGTACCCAGTTCTGGCTCCAGGCTCTTATTCTTCCTCTAGTGAGTTTTGAGAGGAAGCTTATTTACTGATGCACTCCCAGATGCACATGATGCTGTCCTCCTAGGGTTCAGTCTCTATGGAAAAAGTGTGGAAACTGGTGTGTGGTCAAGGACTGTTGGAACAAGTCCTCAGCCATTTGTAGGGCAGCATATTAGCTTGCTACCTGGGATTTTTTCTTCAACAATTTGATAAGTAGGAGCATCATTCCGGAACCTAGTTCTTAATAGACATCATTTTCCAGTAGTGTAACAAACACATGATGCATGATAGAACTTAATGTTCAGTTCAAACCCAACCCAACTCAGCTCAGCGCAAATAAATTATATTTTTCTTTCCTTTGTGTAGGGAAAGGAATTTTCTAGAACTTTATTTAAAAACACAGGATCTTTAAAAAAATCTGTTAAAAATTTGTAGTGGAGACCCATTCCTTCTCCAATACCCAGCTAAAATGTAACCTTTGTGTGCTTTTTCTGACCTATATTATCTTTTCTATGGTTTTGTTGTACTTTATACACATCTCTATTATGGCATTTTTCACATGGTATGGTAATTCCTCCCTCCCTCCCTCCCTCCCTCCCTCCCTCTCTCTCTTCCATCAGTTTTAATCTCATGGAAAGAACATCTTTGTATACCCAACTCCTAGTCCAGTGTCCAGCACAAAATAGATGATCTTTATATATTTTTCAGTAAATGAATGAGTGAGTGATGGATAAATTACCCAGTTTTGTATTAGATGTAGTCAAACCCCCAAACATTCAGAAGGAATTTATAAAATAAAGCGCCTCCAGGGCCATCTCATTTAGACTTTGATAGCAGGCCCAAAATAACTATTTCCCTCTATCTTTTATCACCACTCCTCGTCTGAAAGCTTATAACATGGAATCAGAAGACCCTGCTTACCATTTTTCCAATCATCATTACATACGGGCCCAAATACTTGTTCACGCCGAAGATGTCTAGGAGACGGATGTACCAGTAAATGATGTTCACGCAGTAGATGACCCTCCCGTCACTCCTGAAGGGCTGGTCTTGGAGACGAAGGATCATTCCAACAGAGAACAGAAGGATGGCAATGAGGTCCGTGACATTCCAGTACTCCTGCAGCCACACCTTCACCTTCTGTAGCAACTTCCCTGGCTCTGACATCAGAATCTATAAGGCAGGAAGGAGAGCAGGGTTAGGTCTGGTTTCTGTCTATATTTTCAGCCCAGTTGGGAAGTACTTGATCTGTTGGCTGACGTTACTAGCTTGCTTTGTCTACCTATATCTACTTAAATACTTGCATGCTATAAAAGTCCAATTGAGCTAAGCTTAGGCGATTATTCAGCTGCAGTATTCCAAAGGCACATATAAGCAATAATTTTGATTCTTTGGGTGGTGGTAAAATTCTAAGACACACATAAGAGTTTTGCTATAAAATGATTCAATCCTAGTATGCTGCAAATCTCTGAAGTCTCCCTTTATCTCAGTAAACAGTGCCACCATATTGAGTTCCTCAGGCTGCTCACTTGGGAAGACTCCTCCATTTTTCTCTTTCACATCCCACATCCTCTGCACCAAGTCCTATCACCTCTATTTCTAAATGCAACCTAGCCAACTACTTCTCACCACCTCCACTGCTGCCGCCCTATTCTAAGCTCCATCACATCTTGCAGATTGCAGCAGCCTTCTAACTGGTATCCCCATCATCCTCATTGCCCACTTACCCTCAACCCATTCTCTGAGCAGCACCAAGAATGATCTTTAAAAGCCTGGATCTTTAAAGATCTGGCTGGCGATTACCAAGTTATACGCATAGGTAAAAGCTCATCAAGCTGCACCTTAGGAGTTGTTCAATTATACATAAATTATACCTCAATTTAAAAAAATTTTAGACAAATGAACAACAGAAACTAAAACAAATGATCATAATTGTATGCTTGAGCTTTCTGATGACGTCCATTACAAATAGTGAAAAATCCAAACTCTTCACAGTGGCCTCATTTCACATCCCACCATATTCTCTCTTATCCTCTACCCTGCAGCCATACTGGTCATCTCTTAAGCATAACAAGTTTATTCGATATTCAAGATGCTTGTACTTATTCCTTCTGTTCATCACTTTCTTCTCCCAGATCTATATTTGGCTCCTCTTCATCTTCAAGGTCTCCGATCAAATGTCCCCTTTTTAGGAAGGCCTTTTTTGACTACTTTAGCTGCAGCAGACTTCATGTCCCCAAGTCACTCTCCAATACATTACCCTATTTATTTTTTTGGAGTTTTTATCACTATATGAAGTTATCTTCTGTGTGCTTGTATATGTATGTGTGTATGAGTATGTGTGTATGCCTGTCAATCAGTCATCTATGTATTCATCCATCCATCCATCCATTTTTCTCTCTTTCCTATACTGAAACTCTGAGGGCAGACCCTTTGTACCCCAGGCCTGTTACATAATAGAAACTCAATACATATTTGTCAACAGACTGACTGTCGTGTAGGCACTAAGAGCAATTTCCAGTCCCTTGCATATCCTAACTCCTTTGTGGGACTCTTGCCTTACCTTAAACTTAGAGGGGGTACCACACATGGGTCTATGAAATGCACAGCTGGACAGCAGGAGTTGCACCCATCCTGCACCACAGACTGCCCCAGCATGTGAGAAGCCAGGGAACCCCACTTACTGAAGCTGCACCAGGGCCACCTTCCTCAATTGCTGGTGTTTGCCTCTGAGGATTCCATCTCTTCAAACCATGACCAACCCCTTTCCCCACCTCAGAACCTCTCAAAGGAGAGGAAAGATTGGAGGCTTGTGTGAATCCTCATGTCCACTATAATGATTTACCTAATTCTGAAATACTAAGGAAGACAGGTTTTAGTAAGTTAGGGCTGGGGCTTGGAAGGCGGAGCAGGGTACCAGGAGCTGCCTGGGAGCCCTATTTTTCACAGGCAGTGTCCTGCCCTAAGCCCTAGCCCAGGGTTTCTAAACTTCAGTGCACATCAGAATCACCTGGAGGGCTGGGTAAACTATCCATGCCAGGCCCTCAGTCTGGAGTTTCTGCTTCAGTAGGCTGGGGGTGGGGTGGAGGATTTACATTTCTGACAAGTTCCCGGCTCCTGCCTGGTGGCCCCAGTTTGAGAACCACTGTCCTAGTCACCAGCAATCTCTGCAGCTGGTGGTGTCCTGATGGCTTCTCACTCCCTGTCTGCATCTTAACGGAGCAAAAGTCCGTGTCTGTAGCTGGGAGAGGGGTTTGATGGGCAATGCCTTGAGGTTTTCCAACCCTTTGCTCACACTCTCCTAAAACTGCTAAACACAGAGGTTTGTAGGATAATTTTTAAACAGTGAAGCATTTTTTAGTAAAGTCCCAACATTAAAAAAAAGAGATGAGATGAGAGCAGAATAGTCCGGGGTGAAGCAGAAGTGGAAAGTCAAGTCCCCCTTCCCTCCTCCACCTCTCGAACCAGCCCTCAGGCACCTGTCTTAGAACCCTGGGAGCCTGAGGAGCATCGTGGGAGAGTAGAAAGAGCACTGAGTCTAGGGATGGATCCGTCAGGTTTCATACTCAGTTGTCCTTTCTAGCTGCGGGATACGGGGAAATGGCTTAAACCCCAAGTCTCAGTTCCCAGACCTGTGCAGTGGGATGTCATCATAGTCACGCCATCGACCTCATAGGGTTGTGGGGTCGGGGGAGGATCCAGATGAGATAACGTCTACCCACGCACACTGTAAACAGTGCCATGCTATTAAGGGATTACCGGGGCTTGCTTTAGTGACTCCAGGCAGAAGTATGTGGGCTGGGAATGGGGGCATCATGGGAAACCACAAAGCCTTCCTTGTGTATTCCTGGGAAGGCACCAAAGCATGCAAACTTTTCCACATTTCCAGGATCTTGCGTCTTTGCCCTGGAGGTCCTGCGTGCTGACTGTGAGGAGGCAGGAAGGGCACGGCCTGTGGGGTCCTCACCCCGTGGGGTCCTCACCCCTTGGTCGTCAAGCAACTCTTCAGTGAGTTCAGGGGTTGGGGCGCCACCTCACTGGGCTGCAGAGGAAAAGGTCAGACTCGGAGGTGGTCACTGCCTCACTCCCCACAGGAAGCGAGGAGTCTTCGGTTGACCCCATCCTGACCCCAGCCTCCAAAGCCCTGCCCGCCCTACTATCCTATGCCTCTTCAGGAGAAATGGATATCCAGGCCTCGAGGCTCCTGGCAGCTTGCCCATTTGGCTGCCTCTGCCAGAACAGTCCGTGGAGTACAGACTGCTCCCTGTCTTCTCCCAGTCTGGTCCCTGGAGAGACTCCAATCTCCCTGCTCGAGTCCTTCCCTTTTCTGCTTATCATGGGGAAGGAATATGCTTCTAGGCGTTAAATCGCTCGAGTGCCAGCTGGCACAGCACAGCCACAGGGCCCCAGCAGGAGCAGGCCTCAGTTCTCAGAGAGCTGCACAAAGATCAAAGCAAATTTATTACTGTTTTTCAGTTTACAAATGGGAAATCCACAACATTGGTCAAGAAGAAAAGTCACCATGAATGGGAAGACCGAAGTGTAGACGACTAGCTGGAACAAGGCAAAGCGTTCCTTTTTTTTTTTTTTTTTCTCAATCCAGGCGCTTGTAAAATGGGACTAGCAGACCCACTCCCAGGTTCTCAGGATGGGGAGAGGGTAGTCGGAGTTAAAATATCCCCCAAATAGTTTATAAACTCAAGAGAAGGGCTTAAGAGATAAGACATTTGGATCCCAATACAACTGCATCTAAGAGATACCGCATCTTTTCTCTGGAAGAGAACATTCTAGAGCTGAAACGCTTGCCTTTTAACCTGTCTTTGTAATGAAGGCAAGAGTGAAGTTGTGGATTTGCAGGAGTCCGTTTTTTCCTATGGTGCCCAGTATGTTTTCCCACCCGCTGTAGTACAGCAATTAGGGTTGTTCCTGAGCTCTTAAAGACTCAGTGGACTTGAATGGGAGCATTTCCTCCAGAAAGGGCCTGTCCTGCTTACTGTCATTTCAGGAAAGAGAAATCAGCACTACCTCCTAAACCTTTCTTCCCTAATGGCTTTCCCTGATGAAATAGGAGCTCGGGGTGAACATTGAGCGGGGCTGCAGAGCCCTCTTGTGGACTTTTGCTTGATCACATTCTTTTTAGCAGCTCTGAATCTGATGGGCCCCTGAGGTTGGCTCTGATTTCAAATAAACCACTTAGGGGTGGCATTTTGAGGGCTCCTTTTAGGCCATAGAAGTTGGGGGAGAAAAGAGGGGACGCTGCACCCACAACCCGAAGGACCTGTGTTCAGTCCGCCTTGGTGGTCCCTACCGCTGGCAGAGTGGTTGGTGTCCAGCAGGTGCGAGCACAATGTTGAGAAGAAATAAACCAGAGAATAAATCCAATGAATGAGTGAAAGCAGAGTTCCTCCTAGAACAGCCGAAACACATCTGGAGAGTCACAGGTATTGGCAGGCTGTGTCCGAAGACACCCAGAATAAGGGGGTGAAATGGGAGTTAAAAGTGGCAAAATCTAGAAAGTCATGTTTATAGGGATGAGGAAAGACATGTAAACGGCATCAAAAACAACTGGAGGCCTTCTTGGGACAAAAGCTATGTTAGCAGAGAATAGACCAAATCCTAAGCACTCAGGGAGTTATACCCCTATCAGCACCACACTGTGAGCCTTCCCAGGTTTGTCAGAGCTAAGCAGCAGCTGTGGTAGCGTTAGAGAAAACAGTTTCCGGCTTCATCTGCATCCCAGGCATCTTCCTGTCCCCTCCGTCCACAGATAGAACTTAACCACTGTCTTTCTCTTATGTTTTAGTTTATAAAAGCTGTTACCTCTCTCATCTTTTCTATTCCCAGGGTGAAAATATAGGAGATGACGATCCATTCCTGGGTGGACGGCCAGCGTTCCATCTTCACTAACACGATATAGTTGAAGAGCATCAGGTATCCGATATACGCCAGCTGTAAGGAAATACAATACAGTGGTCTGGCTGTTCAGGCCCAGGAGCCTCAGCGTCAGCCACGGCCACTGCACAGCAGCACAGAACAAGGTCAGCAAGCAGGACACAGAATTTATGACAAAATGAACTCAAGGTGCTAAACTACCGAAAGAATTAGAAAAGACAGTAGTACTTGAAAGATTATAATATGCAATCTTCCTTTTGACCCGTACATGTGTCTCTGGGGGCTCTGGTGCTTTGCTTAAATCTATGTGTCATGATGCATCATTTCGTCTTGCAGTTACCCATTTCTGTGTGTGTGTTTTCTTGGCTAAAAAGGGAACCTTGGCTGTCAGTGGCTGCTCTTGCTCAGGCGTGGACCTTAGGTTCTTAAACTAGGGCAGCACAGTGGATTTTTGCTTCATGAATGCCAGGCAGAATATGTGTCTGTGAGAAGAAAAGGAAGACGCATGTAACACCTGTAAACTGGTCAACCCAACATAAAATTAGCCCAGGCTTAAAGAGTTTGGTTTGTCAGTGCCCTGGGAGGGCTTCACGTGTTTTCATTTCACCACTTTCCTGCCCTACCCAAGTTAAAATATTCCTCCTTGGTGTCGGCTTCATTGAAATAACACAAGAAAAGACAACACAATTTATAGAAAGGAAAGGGTCTGTGTGGCCTTTTGTGGACGGGCGTGGGGTTTAATCCCCAAGAGGCTCTGGCTCTTTGGGGTTGAATCCTGATGTGACTGGCTGAATTGCTGGATGTCTGGGAAGCACTCCCCAGGGTTTGGTGACTGTTCTTGGAAGATTCAGTTGTGTTAAGGTGAGTGAAGTGCAGAGAAACTGGTGAGGCTCTTGCATAAGGGGCTGAGGAGCCTTGAGCAAAGACTCACCTTAAGGGAAATGGCAGACTAGCTGGGCCTTCCTTAGGCAATGCTGCAAGTTGAGTGAGGTACTCACTGGCCTTAGGGACCTCAGGGGCCGTGAGCAGGAACCAAGAGGGAGTTTATTAAAATCTGCTGCACTCTTCAGAGTGGTTGTACCAAAGAATAGACACATTGTGGGTGAAAGGATTGAGGCCTTGAGGGGTCTGGAGGTACTGCGCGACTTTGGAGCTGGGAAGGCAGCTTAGAAGGTGGAGGAAGCTGCAGCCTCTCTGGGGGATATGCTGCTTTCTCTACTAAGAAAACTTCCCCCCTCCCTCTCTACCTTCCCCTTTCCTTTTCTAATAGAAGGATTCTCTTATGTTTTGAGACAGAGTCTCACTCCCGCCGCCCAGGCTGGAGTGCAGTGGCATTGTGATCTCGGCTTCTTGTAGCATTGACTTCCTGGGCTCAGGTGATTTTCCTACTTCAGCCTCCTGGGTAGCTGGGAAAATAGGCACGTGCCACCACAGCCAGCTAAGTTTTTGTATTTTTAGTAGAGACAGCATCTCACTTTGTTGGCCAGACTGATCTCAAACTCCTGGGTTCAAGAGATGCCCCCAGCTTGGCCTCCCAAAATGCTGGGATTACAGGCTTGAGCCACCATGCCCGGGTGAATGAATGGATTCTTTTTTTTTTTTTTGGAGACTGAGTCTCACTCTATTGCCCAGGCTGGAGTGCAGTGCTGTGATCCTGGCTCTCTGCAAATCTCCTCTTCGTGGGTTCAAGCGATTCTTGTGCCTCAGCCCCCCGAGTAGCTGGGATTACAGGCACCTGCCACCGTGTCTGGCTAATTTTTGTATTTTTAGTAGAAACGGGGGTTTCACCATGTTGGCCAGGCTGGTCTTGAACTCCTGACCTCAAGTTCATCACTTAAAGGGTGAAGTAGGTCGGAGTTAAATAAGATCACTTATGAGAGCTGGACATCTGGGCTCACTCTCTACCTGCATGGTTTGTGCTGGCATCCCCCCAACCCCCAGGGCCTATCATTTCAACCTATGACTAGGTTCCTACCCCTCCCCATCTTCAGGAGCATTGGCAAATCATGAAAACTTCTCATGAAAGAGTTTACTTAAAATTGTGTAGGACGCTGTTTAAAAATCAGTTCAAAATGGAACTTGGTTCATATGGTTTCCGTTTACCATTATAATACACTGGCATTAATTCTGTAGTCCTGTGAGTACAGACTGCAAAAAACAAAAAAAGGACTTCAGTGGTTAGAACTCTAAAATATACTCTCAGCCTCCTTCTGACTTAAAATCCTTCTCTCTCCTTGCTTCCTTCTCTTAGTTGGGTCAAATTCCATCACTTATAGGGGAAATGAATATTGTTAACTGCCCTGGTTTTATCATTTTGCCCAATTCATTGCAAAACATTCCAAAGCATTATCTTCTCTTTTCATATGTAGGCCCAGTGACATGCACATTCTTCCAGAACCTCTGCATTTTAGTACGTAAGTAACTCCTTGAACCTACATCTGTCCTCTGAATACAAGTCTAATGTGTTTAGTGGAAGGAAGGTAGGCATAGGTATCAGTGATGCTTGTATTTAAATCATTTAAATTCCAGCTCACGTACTTCCTAGATGTATCATCTTTTGTAAGGTTAACCTTCCTGGGCCTCCATTCTGTAACATGGGATCACTTCCACTTTCCTTATAGGGGCTTTGTAATGACTAGGGATCTAGATATCTATCTGTCTGTCTGTCTGTCTCTCCCAACACACTGTAGAGACCCAATAAATGCTGGCTAATATCCACCTCTTTTTTTCAAGAATTCTTTTTGTCTCCTCTTCCCTTAGTCCTTACTTCCCTTTGATCCCCGATTAATTAACTATTCACACCTCTCCCCTTTTTTTTCTTTTTAAAATTGCCCTCATTATTGGTTATGCTTCCTCCACATTCATCATTTTTAGCCCCTGCCTGGTTTTTACATCACAGTTACTCTATAACGAACTTTTTCCATAGTCAAGCTATAATATAATATTTTGGTACAACTCTCAAAATACAGACTTCTGAAAATAGGGTCTTATGTTTAGATGGCACAACAGAGGACTGGCTGCTGTCTTGGAAGCAGCCTATCACAGAACTCACCAACATTCATGCAGCCTTGCTGTAGATTATCTTGACATGACATGCTTTAATTGTATGTGTGTATATATATATATTCTGTAAGCTTTAACAATCTGCATGTAGAATGTCCAAGCTTTTGAACCTATGAGTCTTATTTAAGTCAGTCAGTGGGAGAACTCTAAGAATTTGTATGTTATTAACATATAATCTTTCTATGCATTTTCCATTAACTAAGATTCATGCTTCTTAAACTGTCAAACACAAGCACCAAAGCCTGCCGCAGCTTGCTATGGATCCCTGGTGGGGCTTTGCTCTTCCTCACTTCTACCTGGGCCTTTTTCTACTACCTCTGGAGAGCAGAAGGGCACATGGTCTCGTAGAGGGTAGAGTTGGTCACTGCTAGAGAAACTCAGAGTATGCACTGTGTCCTCTGACCTACAGCCACTTCACACCTTGAATTTGAATCCTCTCCAGCCGGATACCTGAAATAGGCTCTCAACACAAGCAGGGTCGAGGAGCCAGCTGGACCCCTGCCTGCTTTCTTCTCGGACCAGAAGAGGACCCAACCTACTCCTAGAGAAACTTGCTACAATGCAGAAGTGAGGTTACATGGAAATGAGGTGTGTCCTACCTTTCAGAAACTTGGGAGAGTAGGACACACCATTTTTGGAAATCTGGTGAGAAATACTCTTACAGAGAAAAACACAGCCCCAAGTAAAGTACATGGGACCTTCAATCTGAAACTGAATTGTATTGTTAGGCATGTCTGGTGATTCAAAAGACTGGCATACCTCATTTCCGATCACTTCCTCGAGGCCTGGGCTTTGTCGATACGTGAAGATGAATTTTGGAGAATCATGAAAACACAACTGAACGGATCTGGGGGATCCAGTCTGAGGCCAACTCAGCCATGCAGAAGAGTGCTGGACACACAGGCCCCACCCCCCAAAGAGGCAGCCTCCCAACAAGCTGCCAATGACATAAGCAAAGCAGCGTGTCTCAAGCATCTCTAATCACAAGTTTCGCCTGGGAAGCTAGTTAAACTAACACAGCCTCTTAGGCTCCTTCATGAAGATTTGATTCCATGGGTCTATGATGGGGCTAGAAATTCGCATTTCTAACAAAACGCCCTTGTCATCATGGAAGTTTTAGAAATGTTGATACTATTACGTCTACTGATTTCTGCTCTCAGCAGTCTGTAAACTTTTTCTGCAAATGGCCAACTGGTTAACAACTTTTAAGGCTTTGTAGACCTGGTAGTCTCTCTCTGTCTCTCACCACTCATTAACTCGATGTGGTAGCACAAAAGCAGGCAGCCTACTGGTAATGTTAAATGAGGTTTAGCCTAAAGCTGCCTCCTTACATATTTTAAGTTCGGCCTAAAGTTTTCTCTGTACATTGTGAACTATAACAAATGAAGGTGTAACAAGACCAATCACTGAATTTCAGTCAATCAAATGTAGCCAGCTGCTCAAAATGTGTTCAAATAAGGTAAATGCTGAGCTGTAACCAATCCAGCTGTTTGTGTACGTCACTTCCGTTTTCTGTCCATAATTCTTCCACCACGTGGCCCTGCTGGAGTCTCTGAGCCTCCTCTGGCTTGGAAGGCTGTCCCATTCACGAATTGTTCATTGCTCAATTAAATTCCTTTAACAGAAATTAAGAGTCTGCCTGTGCTCCAATTATTTATGGACACTACAATTTGAATATATGTCTCAAGTATTCCTTTTTAAATTTTATTTTGACCCTTTAAAAATGTAAAAACCATTCTTAGTTTGCAGGCCACAGTCATAGGCCATGGGTTGAATTTGGCCTGAGAGCTGTAGTTTGCCAAGCGTTGTTCTAAGCTAACAGTTGGGGTATCATAATATTAAAGGAAGGACAGACCTGGGTGTAAAATAGCTCCAAAAATATTATCTTAGGCTGGGTGCAGTGGCTATCGCCTATAATCCCAGTACTTTGGGAGGCTGACGCAGGCCCATAGATCGAGACCAGCCTGACCAACATGGCAAAACCCCATCCCTATTAAAAATACAAAAATTAGCTGGGTGTGGTGGTACACATCTGTAATCCCAGCTACTTGGGAGGCTGAGACATGAGAATCACTGGAACCCAGGAGGTGGAGGTTGCAGTGAGCCAAGATCTTACCACTGCACTCCAGTCTGGGTGACAGAGTAAGACCCTGTCTCTCCTAAATAAATAAATAAATATTATCTTGATAAAATGGTTGTTAGGATTACAGAGAGTACTTAAATAGTACCTAGAACATTGCCTCAAACATAGTAGGTGCTCAATAAAAGATATTATTTTTGTTGAGTGGATGGATGAACACAACACTATCTATTGCTATGCAATGTGAATAGCCTAGAAGAAACAATAGTCACAGTTACGTTGTACTTACATGTCAAGGAACTGTTCTAAGTGCTTTATATGTTTTAACACATTTAATCTTCATTAAATCCTATAAAATCAGAACTACTACTATTGGCATCTTAAGAAAACTGTGGACAGAATGGGAAATTAAGTTCTTTGAGGGCACATGGTAAGAGGTGCAGATGGGATTCCCACCCAGGCTGTCTGATTCCAAAGTCCATGCTTGTCACCACTAAGCTGTTTTCTGCAAGGTTAAAAATAATATAGAGCTGTATAAAATATATGAATAGAAATGATTTTTGCATGCCTCAGTTATTTTTGGGGGGAGATAATTTTTCTCTTTTCCTACCATTGATAAATTTGAATTTTTACTTCACTGAAAACATCTAATATTTATATTTTGATAATATCCCCTCCTCTCTCAAGACCACACCTCAAAGTGGTAGTTTCCGAATGGTGGCAATTTTATCCCACAAGGGGACATTTAGCAATGTCTGGAGACATTTTACTTGTCATACTTGGGGGATGAAGAGTTGCCACTGAGTAGAGGCCAGACATGCTGTAAAACATGCTACCTGTTGAGGGCAGCCCCCCACAATGAAGAATTATCCTGCCCTAAATGTTAATAGCACTGAAGTAGAGAAACCCAACTTTAAGGTCAATGTGAAGTGTTAGCACACAGGACCACATGAAAAGCACCTCATCTGGTCATTTGAGTCATTTTGGCCTCAGATTCAGATTATCCTGTTGCTGACTCAAATGACTGCTATGCAGCTGGTTGTGGCAAGGGCTAAAAATACAGATGCACTATCCTTCATCTGGCACAGTTCCACTGTGGCTGGAAAGAATCAGAGATGACCTGGGCCAAAAGCTCACCTTAAAAAATAATCACTGAACAGTAGACGTGGAGAACCAATAATTGAACCATTTCTACCATATCAGAAGGTCATTTCAAGGACAATCCACTCTTTTGTAGGCAGAAAATGTTTACATGATCTGCATACTAAGCAATATTAGCCATGATTGTAGGTTTCCTTTGAGTAGTTTTTGCTGCTGCTGTTTGCATATTGTTAATTGTGTTGGAACAAGAAAGGTTGTTTGATGACACTAGCAGATTGGGAGTAGTTACACACACACACGCACACACACTGCCTTCTTTAGTGGTGTTACTTCCACACTCTCCTCACTCCTTACCTGCCAAAAGTAGCCCCAAATCCAGGACTGGCATCTAAAATGGGCAACTGTGATCTAGCCCTCATCCATTCAAAACATCAAGTATTTCAGAAAAGCGTATCTACTTTCCTGTTTGTTAGACAAGACTCATACTCATCTCACCTCTATTTCTGTTTGTTAGTTCTCACCTCCACCATTTCCTCTATTTTCTGAGAGGAGGCCAAATGTGGCCTGTGAAAGCTGCCTAACAAAATGCCACAAATCTTGCAAAGCTATTGAAAAAGCAAGGTCACAGAACTTTCACTCCTGTGTGTGGCACTTACGACTTGCAGAGAAAACCACACAGGTGCATGAGAAATGGACGTTGGCTCCTTGTGGCCATCCACTAGGAAGGAGAAAAGGAAATGTGCTTACTGTGTAGAACCAGAACTTCACGATGGGTGCATTGTAGAATTCATAGATTTTTCTGCCGAGGGGGATTAACCGGTGCCTGCTCTGAACTTCCTCTTCATCCTTCTTCCTGGAGGACTCCCCGTTGTTTCGTCCCAACATTGCCTATGGTGGAAGAGAATCGATACTATCATGGCAGGGCTCTGGAGAGCATGTAATTCAATGTGCTTATTTTACAGATGAGGAAAGGATGCCCATAGAACCTAGGAACTCAAGGCCCCAGAGATTTAGAGGTTGTACCTTTCCTATGAGTGCATTTGCACTACACGTATAATCTGTGAATACCCTTTGCCTGAGATGGAAGGCCTTGGGTATAGTTCTTGACTATTCTCTTCTCTTCCACCTTGGGTCTTCTAGAAGATGTGGGCAATAGATGATACCCAGAGTCCAGAGAGGAAGAAAGGGTGTAGCCTGGGAAGGCCAGACTTCAAGAATCTATTCTTCCTCCCCACCTGCTCTCTCTCTCTCTCTATCATGAAACAGGCTAGATCTGGATTCAAATTCTGTCTCTTCAAATGCTAATGACCCTTAAGTCAAAGGTAAATTGGACCAGCATACCTAATTTATCCAAAGGTTGTGAATACTCAAGAGGTAAATGATCTGCAGTGCCTGGAACTTAGTTAGGTTAGTGATATGGTTTGGCTCTGTGTCTCCACCCAAATCTCATCTTGAATTGTAATCTCCACGTGTCAAGGGAGGGACCTGGTGGGAGGTGATTGGATCATGGGGGCAGTTTCCCCCATGCTGTTCTGGTGATAGTGAGTTCTCATGAGAGCTGATGGTTTAAAGTGTGGCATTTCCTCACTCTCTCTCTCTTGCCACCATGTAAGACATGCCTTCCTTTCCCTTTGCCTTCCACCATGATTGTAAGTTTCCCAAGGTCTCTTCAGCCATGCAGAACTGTCAGTCAATTAAGCCTCTTTTGTTTATAAGTTAGTTACCCAGTCTCAGGTGGTATCTTTATGGCCATGTGAAAACAGGTCTAATACAATTAGGGACATCTCCCTGACCCTTAGGCATGTGTCTTGGCTCCCTGATTTCAAACACTGTAAATCCTGAATTACTGCTTGTACTAGTTTTATGGTGGTTCCTGTGAACACTGCCTGCCTCTGCAGCTACGTGAGACTAGGAGAAGGATTCCAGTCAGGCCTGACCTTGAAAGGTCCTCATCTCCAAGATGGTGGAAACTTCCTTGAGAATAGAATCATTTCCTTCTCATTCATGACAACAGTAGCAGTGACAACAACTATAATAATTTAACTGAGGAAGAGTTCCAGGCCCTGGGTAACTCAGATGGGAGACTGAGTCCTAACTCAGACACTTCAAATCGGTGGCACCACGAGAAAGATTTTTAACCACTCTGAGACTTAGTTTCTTTAACTGTAAAATGAGGGTAATAAAGTACCCACTATAGGGTTGGCCTACAAGTCAGGTAGCATCTGGCACTTAATAAGTGCTCAGTAAACACTAGCTAGGCTTTAAAGTGAACTGAGACCTTCTTACACACTCTTCACTAAAATGATCTAGTTGAGATCACTCACTAGAAAAAAAAGTGTTATTAGAATCTATAACAGCATACTTTCTTGGCTTTAATTCTTCAGTACTGTTCTAACACAAAGCTAGTTTCACAAAGTTTGGAGATTTTTATAACATGTGAGGACAGGGTAAAACTTTATAACTGCTCAGGACTGACAAGGATTTGGGGCAAGACAGAGTACTGGGAAATGAGCTCAAAGCTGAGACAGCTCATTATAGAAACAATGCATGAGTTTTGAAATTGAGAATAGAGACAAACCTAGATAATTCTGGCTTAAAGCCACTTTACCTAAAGTATACAAATATTAGTTTCCACTACTTGGTTCATTACCTCAAATATCTACTTTATTCAACTATGTAATAATCACAAATGATTGACCTGTAACCAATAGGATTTCTGGAGAAGGTAACTTCCATTCCTTTGTGGACTCCGGCTGGAAAAGTCCCTTGAGTAAATGAAGAAGTTAGATTCCATACTACGACTTATTAAAGTGTTTATTTTCATCAGTGAGTGGAGTAAATCTTTCTGATGGACATGACGCACTAGACTGTGATAGAGTTCTATAAATATTGATCATTGACCTCAAGAAACTCTGAGGTTACATGACATTTGGCTGTCTATAATTTATGTAACATAATTATCATGCTTCCGTTCTGCTTATTTATATACTTGAGAATCTAATGCTATTTGGGGACACAATGAGATGAAAGTAAAGACAGCTGGAAGGTTTTTAGGCATCTTGGAGAGTGGCATTTTGGGGTAACTTCTGGGGATGGTGACTTTCCCAACAGAGCTATAGACATGCCCTGGGTCTGTGGACTTGTGGGGACTTTATTAGGCAAAGTGGAGACATTTATCCAACACTGCATTCAAAACAAAAACAAAAACCTGTTTTGCCTTTATTATTCAGATATATTCCAGCATGAAGCCTTTCTAAAAGGCTTGTCTTTCATGGATTTAAGTAAAGCATTTTTGACATTTCATTAATTCCAGCCTAAGCAGCTTAACTTTTGATTTTGTTTGTGTCTTTTCTCTGTATTCAGACATTTCCTTTGACATTCCTTAAAGTAGAATCTAACAGGGTCAAATATAGACAAAACTGCACAGCATGATTTGAGAATCTATGCTGGCTAGACACAGATGTCAAAGCTGAGAAAGTTCTTTTGAGGTGAACTAAACTACTAAAAGCTACAAAAATGGAGTGAATTGAGGTTGATATTTTCATGTATCATTTTGGAAGCGCCAAAGGAAAATGTCCCATTCCAAGAGAGGATATACTGGTTTAACACAGAAGCTCAAATATCAATCCCATAAAAGGAGGGGAGGTGCCAATGAGCTGCACTCTGCAGTTCTCTCCAGGTTCTGTCCACTGACCAGTGCCCAAGCAGTGACAGAATTTGCCATCAAAGTCAAGGGAGGGGTCCACTTTACAGACAACTGCTGTCCAGCCCTGAGTTTGCCAGGCCACGTGTCCTTTCCTTCTTTCCTTCTCCCTGCTGTTTCTGCCTGTGGAGAAGAAGCTCGGGCAGCAATGCTCTTACAGAGCCTTCTACTGGGCTCTTAGTAAACAAGGCGAGGGTCTATTCTATTGTTACTAAACTTTGCTCTTAGTCTAGAGATGCAACTCTTATGGTGGCTTCTTGAAGGATCAGGTTCTCAAAGCTCTATGCTGAGCAGGGGAAGCTACCTCCCTTTGCTTTCTTCCTTGAGACCCAATGAGAGAGAATGCTGATTCAGTTTCTGGTTGTCTTCCTAGGATGTGTACTGATGTCAGGACTGTGCCACACTTGACTTTGGAGGCTCATTCATCACTTTTGGATTCTTCTACATGGTGGACCAAATAGGCTGAGCAGCCACGCTTGAGACTAGAGAGACATTCTGTCTCGCCCTTAACCTACCGTCTAAAAGTGTGGTTGATGGAGTCTATATGCCCGGATTCTAATCTTAGCTTTGCCATTAACTGGCTGGGTATCCTTGAGCAATTTAACCTCTGTGAGTGTCAGTTTCCTCATTTGTAAAATAGGAATTAGGGCTGGACGTGGTGGCTCATGCCTGTAATCCCAGCACTATGGGAGACCAAGACTAGAGGACTGCTTGAAACCAGGAGTTCAAGATCAGCCTGGGCAATCTCTTAAAAAAAAAAAAAAGCCAGGTGTTGTGGTGTGCACCTGCATTCCCAGCTACTTGGGAGGCTGAGGTGGGAGGATCCCTTGAGCCCAGAAATTTGAGGTTACAGTGAGCTATAATCGCACCATTTTGCTCCAGCCTGGTGACAGAGTGAGACCCTGTCTCTAAAAGTAAATAATATAAATAAATAAATAAATAAATAAATAAAATGGGGCCAATAATAGTGGCTATCTTGTGGGACTTTCGTGAGGATTCCATTAGTAAGTATGTGTAAAGCACTTAGCACTGTTAAAACAATATTGGTTTATAGTGTGCCAGTCTCCAATATAAGTAGTTTACAGGCACACTTTTTACACTAGACAACTACTTGTGAGTTAGACAACATTATTGTTCCCGTGTTTGAGATTATAAAATTGTGCCCAAGGTCACACAGCAAGTAGGTGACAGGGCAGGATTCTGGTTCCAGAGCACACGTTCAGCTGAAATATTCAATAAAGATTCAGTATTACTATTGCCAGTTTTCTTCTAATGATCAAGCTATTATATTCTATTCGGAGGACAAAATTATGGTGAGATTGTTAGGGAAGACAGTCATCTGTTACAGAGCTGAGCCAACTCCTCCACAGATTTTTATACAAATCCTCAAACTGAAACAAAAGTTGGCCTTTCATTCAGTAAGTCAGGGATTGTGTCTGCAAATAGATCTTTAGGAAAAGCCTACTGGAAGGAAATATTGTTTACCTGCAGGAGAAACAATTCGCACTGCTGTCCTACTAGGATAATAGTGCAAAGGCCTTTTGTCACCTGAGCAAAACTAATTTTTGATTTCACCCCTTATAGCTTCTTCTGGGTCACTACAGCAACGGTCATTGGCGGGGGTAGTGAGGGAGGGTAAGGCAAATTGAGAAAGTCCTTATGGGGCTGTTGCTTGATGACTTCCAAGCTATGAAGCCTTGTTTGTCCCTTTAACAGCATGTGATATTTTTAGCCCCTGCATATGAGCCAGTGGCAGTCACGCTGCTCAGGCGGGGGTTGCAAGAAGCTGTCCCATGTCCAGCTGCCCCCTTCCCTCTGCAGAACAAAGCCTCTATGCTCTATAATTATATCAGGAAGAGCTAATAAAAGCTTTGCATACAAACCTCAAAATTCAATTAGTGCTGTAATTGTGAGCCTGACCCTGAAGACAGATACAGGCTTAGCTTCTGATCCGCAGAACAGTACCAGCTCAGTGAAGCCGGCTGCTCCAAAATCATGGATTCCCTTTCCTTCTTTGTGTGCTGAGACAGATACCTCATCTGGTTGTTCAAGAAGCTTTGCTTGTTTGGAAAACGTAGGGTGTCTTGCTTTAGAATTTCACTGGTTTGTCCTGCACCACTAGCTGGCTGCAAGATTTCACATATGGGTGGACCCTGCGGTCGTGTTATTTACACTTTTCCAATACCCTGGTCGCAATACTGAAATGAAAGCACTCCATGGTTAAACTTGGTGGAAGGCTGGGAACAGATGTCTGACCTAAGGAGTTACTGAATCTTGAGCATATTGGTGGGACAAGTGGATTAGGAATTCTGCCCACAGAGAATAACTGTGCAATGTTTTCTTACTGTAAGCTCCATGTCCTCTTCATCTTTTTCTTTCGTGGGCTTCTCTGGTTCTTCTGCCTCCTTCTCTTGGAGGTGGATTTCCTGGGCCTGAGACATATAGGGCATGTCGTCTTTGTTCTTGAACTCCAAGCTGAGAATTGAAGGAGGAAGTAGAATTCCCAGAATTACCTAAAGTAATAATAATGATAATAATAATAATCACATTTAAAGGATTAAGATTAGGGTGGTTGTTTAGAATCAGAGAGCCTGAGGTGTGGGGTATAAGACTGTGCGCATGTGTGTGTACATGTGCACACACAGTTATATGCTCTGTGGGGGACCTGGACATCTGAATAACTAACATATTAACATATTAATACTAAGAGGATCATTTCGTCCCATCTAGGAAATATTTTGCACAGCTCAGTCTCATTTTTGGAGGAAAAAAGCATTTTGCCCAAATTTGTCTTACCCAATTAACACCCACTTTGCATGTGGGTAACAGAGGAAAAAGAGACTCTATTTAAGGCAAAAGTGGGAAAGAATTCAGATTTACATTTAACCATTAGACAGTCCTTGATTTTGACTGTGAAATCAATTCATACATCTGTCCACTGGCATTTTTTTTCTTTGCTAATGTGTCAAGTGGAGTGGATTATGTGTTATCTGATTATCTCTGTAAAAAAAGAATGCTGTCCTAAGTTGACCTTGAGAGAATACATGTAGGAAAGCATTTAATTCATTTTAGGGCATCTTCCTGGTATTTGCTACGATACAGCAGAAAACACACACACACACACACACACCCACCCACCCACCCCAGTGGGCTCCATATGCACTGAGAGAATCCCCTTACACACAAGCCCCAGGAGAAGCCAGCCCTATATTTCTCTCATGTATAAACATCACGCATACATCTATACACTAAATACAGAAGCCTTTCTTCTGAGAGGGCGGTCTCATTCTTCAGAATGAACAAGTGTGTTTCTGCATGATAATACTGACGTCTGACTGTATTCCCCAAGTCCTCTCTCACTTCTTCTCTCAATCCTAAAACAATTCTGGGGCACAAGACTTCTAAACATCAACCTCCTTGAAGAAACTGCTCCAAGGGGAGGGGCTAAGACCCCTCTGAAGGGTCAGTAAAAATGATCCTCACTTAATGAGGCAGGGACAGTCCTTGCTTGAATGCCCACAGGGACACCAGAGTAGTTCACGGAAAATGGCTGTGAATTCATGACGCTGAATTCTGGGTGCCTGGCTGTCCTAGGAAGGCTCAGGTGGCATGCTGGCAGTCTTCAGGGGACACGACACCCTGTCCTCAGAGCTGAGAGCCGGCTTGGCTCCCTTCCTGAGGCTGGACTTGGCGGTCACTAGCAGTGTGGCTATGGAATGCCCATGACCCACATCACAGAACCTTTCTGTGACTCTAGGCCAAGAGCCCACAGGAAGAGTGGTATGGAGAAGGGGTGCTGGTCTCATAAAACGGTAGGTGTCAGGGGCAGGGGTGAGGTTGAGGAGGGGAGGAAATGGGAAATGGGGCCATATAGGTCAAAGGGTACAAAGTTGCAGATATGTAGGATGAGTATGTACCATACAGATGTCATGTACAACATGAGGACTCTAGCTGAAATATGGTACTGTATACTGGAAATTTGCTAAGAGAGTAGATTTTAGGTGCTCTTACACACACGAGGAAGGGTAATGAGGCAAGATGACGGATATGCTAATTTGCTTGACTAGAGTGACCATTTCACAATGTATATCAAAACATCATGTTGTGTCTGGGCGCCAGAGGTTCATGCCTGTAATCCCAGCACTTTGGGAGGCCAAGGCAGGTGGATCACTTGAGGTCAGGAGTTCAAGACCAGGCTGACCAACATGACGAAATCCCATCTGTACTAAGAATACAAAAATTAGCTAGGCATGGTTGCTTGTGCCTGTAATCCCAGCTACTCGGGAGGCTGAGGCAGGAGAATCGCTTGAACGTGGGAGTTGGAGGTTGCGGTGAGCCAATATCACACCACTGCACTCCAGCCTGGGTGACAGAGCAAGACCTTGTCTCAAAAACAAACAAAACCCCCCCCAAAAAAATCTCAAAAAAACCCCCCAAAACCATCATGTTGTATACCTTAAATTAAAACAAACAAAAAACTCCCCATATCCTTTCAATCTTCCATCTCCCATTTTTTTCTGTCTTTCTTTTCCTTTTTCGGTTTCATATTTTCCTTGAAAAACACTGAAAAGAACATTAAAAAAGCAAACGCTACACACCATCCTATTTCCCTTAAAAACAGTAACATCCCTTTCATAGTCCATTCAACCTCAGAGGTAACCGCTGCTGACAATTTACTATGTGTCCTTCCCGGTTTTTGTAGGATAGTTTGTACAGACATAACTATACATAGACACATTAAAAATGGCCTCAGATTATACACACTGGTCTGTGACTTGTTTTTCTTAAGAATAGATTAGGATTATCTTGCAATGGCTTTACAAATAAATCTATCTCAGTTTTATTTTAGTTTAAAAAGACCTCTCAAGCACATCTGGTAAGAGTCAATGTCTCTATGACACGATGCCAAGGAGGGCCAGGGGTTCAGGCACCCTCTGCAGTGACAGGTGGCCTAGTGGGGACTCCTGGTGCAGCTGGCTTTGCTCATGCAAATGGCAGCCCTGGCAGCCCGTGCAGTACCTGTGCACGGCCATCCCCTTTGGATCCTCCGAAAAATATTAATGTCCGGGCACCCTCTCTAGAGATGCTGATGCAGCAGGACCCAGGGGGAAGCCCCAGCCTCTATATGGAAAAAACAAAACCAAGCAACACTCTACAGGATTCTGAGGCACAGTCAGGATTTAGAACCACCCGCCTGAGATAAGAGGATGCCCAATCCCACGGCAGATTTTGGCTGGGAAAACTCTGCCCCACCCGCCGGTCCTCATAGTCAGGAGGGCCTTGTTGGGCGCGCTGACCTTGAGGCCTGAGTTCTTGCGCATGCGGAGCCGGCCCATCCACATGTCGGTGAGCAGCATCTGGCTGCACGTGTGCGCGATGAAGTCGCGGTGTTTGGCAGCCACGGCAAGCTGCAGGCACGTGGCGTTGCTCCAGTTCTTCAGCTCATACGTCAGCAGTTTCATGGCCAGCTGTTCGTCCTGCTTGTAGGACTGGTCCAAGAGCTCCACAGCCAGCTGGCCGAAGTCTCTGAAAGACAGAATGGGTGGACAGTCCTTCAGGTCAGCTTGGAGACTTATAAGATAAAAGTGGACCTGCTGGCCAACCAGAAAATGTGGTCACTGTGTGATGTAGTTGTTTCATATGGGGTCTGGTCTGTTTGTAAATTCATCCAGCCAACATCCACTAAGCATCTACTATGTGCCAGATACCATGTATAGAACTGGGGGTATAAGTCAAACAATATATGATCTCTGTACTCAGGCCCTCAGATTCAGTCATATGAGTGTAGGGGGTGGAGTAATCAATCAATAGAGTACAGTATGTCTTTTTTTTTTTTTTTTTTTTTTTTTTTTGAGACAGGGTCTCTGTTTCCCAGGCTGGAGTACAGTAGAATGATCAAGGCTCACTGCAGTCTTGACCCCCTGGGCTCAAGAGATCCTCGCACCTTAGCCTCCTGAGCAGCTAGGACTACAGGCATGCACCACCACACCCAGCTAATTTTTAATTATTTTTTAGAGATGAGGTCTTGCTATGTTGCCCAGGCTGGTCTCAAACTTCTGGGCTCAAATGATCCACACATCTCAACCTCCCAAAGTGCTGGGATTACAGGCATGAGCCACTACACCAGGCAGTATGTCCTGTTAAATGTGTCAAACTTCAGTTCACATTCCAGCCTTGCCACCACAAATGTGTGATCTTAAATTCTCTGAGCCCCATTTTTCCTAGCTGAAAGAAGTGCATAACTATGGGACCTAACGAATGGGGTAGTTGAGAGGATGAAATAAAATGTTCCATGTTTCTATATGTACCACACTGTCTGTGGCACTGTACACAATAAAGGGGAATTGTTTGTGTCCATCCTGTGTGTGCATCACTGGGGTGATACTGACTTCCCTTAAAGTTCTGAGTAGCTCAGACCTTCCAGCACTGGGAGCCCACCTTTCCTCCTCTCCCCCGACCAGCCCTTTGCTGGGCAGACCCACCTGGAATTGTGATTCAGCTCCTGGGAAATGTCATCAACCATGTCGTTCTCAGAGGCCTCATGAGCCATGGCTTTGCAGAGCTTACAGGCCACCAGGGCCTTGGCCATGGCCTCCTCACCGTGCTGCCAGAAGAACAGGGCCATCTTCTGCCGCTTCATGAGGACAGCCCACACCATGAGCTCGTGGAAAGGGAAGGGGAAGTGGTTGATCTCAGGATCATCCAAGTCAATGTCTACCTCTTCTTCCCGTTTCTTGGTTGTCTTTCTTCCTCGCCTCAAGGGAATATCATCCTGTAATTATAGGGAAATCACACAGGCTGTGTTAGAAATGAATTGGTGCACTTCAGCAAGTAGCAATTGTATATCTTCTCCCAGCTAGCTCTGGGATCAGTACTGAAATGAACTAGGCCAGCTTCCGTCCTAAAAGAACTCACAAGCTCATCCATGCCCAACTTTAAAACAGGTGATGATAAATGTATAAGCACAGTGCTGAGGGAACATGTCAGTGTTGTTACACTCTGATTTAAAAAATTATTTTTTAATGGGCCATTTTCTTTCTTTTCACTTCTGTCCATTTATTTCTTCAAAAGGTAATGTTGTTTGTACCTAATGATGGAGAGCACTACCCTTTTTGCTGAAAGGATAAGGACAGCCTAGATTTTTATTTGCATACACGACCGTAACCACATGAACAAAAGATGGCAAATGGATAATTTATCTCAAGTTTCTGAATACTTATTAGATGCAATGCTGAAGTAGTTCTGGCCTTTGGACCTGTCACCATTTGTAAACACTCGAATAGATTTTGATTACTAGAATTTACATGCTTCCTTGGTTTTCAGGTTAGTATTTCAAATAGGATTTTTTTTTTTTGTTTGCATTGCGGATACAACCTCATGGTGGAATTTTCAAAGGTGCTGTGAGGAACCCTTATGACACATTATATATATATAATTATACATATATAATGTATACATACTATAGTATGTAGTATATATAGTATTACACATTATATATACTATATATTTATAGTATATATATTACATATAGTGTATATATTATATATACACTATATATTATTATATATATACACTATATATATAGCATATATATAATGGGTAACAAGAATAAATCATTGACACTAATAATTTGGACAAACACTTACCTCCATTCCCAGCAGTTTCAAGGCTTTGGGCTGTTAAAAAAAATGTTGTGAACAAAGTTAGATCAGTTAGATCTTTCTTTCATAAAGGTAAGAAGAGTCCTATTATATCTTTTTTGTTTTGTTTTTATTGAGACAAGGTCTCACTTTGTTACCTGGGTTGGAGTGCAGAGGCACAATCAGGGCTCACTGCAGCCTCAACCTCCTGGGCTCAAGTGATTCTCCTACTTCAGTGCCCCAAGTAGCTGAGAGTAGAGGTGCACGTTACCATGCTTGGCTAACTTTTAAAAACGTTTTGTAGAGATGGGGTCTCACTATGTTGCCAGGCTGGTCTCAGACTCTTGGGCTCAAGTGATCCTCCCACCTCAGCCTCCCAAAGTACTGGGATTATAGGCATGAGCCTCCACACCCAGCCTCCAAGAGTCCTATCATATTTTAAACAGGTACTATAAGAACACTATTGTACCATATAGCATTTATTTTATTTTGCTAAATAAAACGCCACAAGAAGAACTGATTTATAGAAATTCCAAGAGAATTTTGGATTTGGTGATTTTAATGAATCTACAGAAAATGAGGAAACTGGCCAGGCGTAATGAGATTGCCTGAGGATAGAGCCTGCAGGTTGATAATGACTTTTGTGAACGAAGATTTCTTTCACCTTCTATAACCATCTTTCTTGCTTGGCTGACACCTTCACAACATCTAGTATTTGAACGAGTGCTTTGGTCTGAATGTTTTTGCCCCCCAAATTCATATGTTGATATTCTAATTCCAAAGGTGATGGTATTAGGGAGGACACTTTCTGGGAGGTGATTAGATCAAGAGAGAAGAGCCCTCAGGAATGGGATTAGTACCTTTATAAAAGAGGCTCAATGCAGCTCATTCACCCTTCTACTGGATGAGGACACAGTGAGAAGGTGTCACTATGAATGAGGAAGCAGGTTCTCACCAGACAGTAAATCTGTTGGTCCCTAGATCTTGGACTTCCTACCCTCCAGAACTGTGAGAAATGAATTTCTGTTGTTATAAGACATCCAGCTGATGGTATTTTGTCGTAGCAGCCTGAACAGACCAAGACAAATGAACAAGGAAACCTTCAATCAAGCAGATCGAATCATGTATTTCTCAAACCTCTGAAAAGCCTCTATTATCTGGAAACTTGGGATATTATTCAGAAATATACTAATATGTTTAGATGCTTTATGCTGGCTGTTTCCCTTTGCTGCTGCACATCAGGGCAAGAGCGAGTGGGGCCAGAGGGCCTGTGCTGATGGTGGCAAAGGTGCTCAATAGCATGGAAAGTGTTAGCACACAGGAAGCATCATTGGCCATGCTGGGAATGTGCAAAACAGGCACAGGCTGAGTCGGAGAGAAAAGGCAACTCAGAAGGACACAGACCCTGATCTATATCTAACAGGAGGTAATACAAAATTACATCTCAGGGGCCAGGAAGACCAATTTTAAGCTTTTAAATATTTCAGAATGGTTGGGCACCATCTTGAAAGTTATTTGAGTAAATGGTAAGGATACAGCACTTACAGTTCCTCCAAATTGTATTTGACTATTCACGTTAGAACAGCTCGAACCGAATCTCTCTCTCTCTCTCTCTTTTTCTCTCTCTCTCTTTCAGCTTCTAAAATGACTACTAGGCTAATATCTATTTCATTTTTTTCTTATTTATCCTTATTGGTGTTTTTTTAAAAATTCTGTTATATATATTTTTTCATTTTCAAACAAATCCCTTTTGTTAAATTTTAAGTGTTTTCAAAGTTCTTTACTAGTTCCACAAAATGCTTTCAGAATCAGAAAAAAACTTTGTTAAATATAAAAATCATGACTCTGCACAGTGGCTCACTCCTGTCATCCCAGCAGTTTGGGAGGCCAAGGCAGCAGGCGGATCACCTGAGGTCAGGAGTTCAAGACCAGCCTGGCCAACATGGCGAAACCCCATCTCTACTAAAAAATACAAAAATTAGCTGAGTGTAGTGGCATGTGCCTGTAATCCTGGCTACTTGGGAGGCTGAGGTAGGAGAATCGCTTGAACCTGGGAGGTGGAGGTTGTAGTGAGCTGAGATCACACCACTGCACTCCAGTCTGGGCAACAGGGTGAGACTGCATCTCAAAAAAAAAAAAAAAATATATATATATATATATGTGTGTGTATATATATATATACCCACTACCAGCTAGAGCAGCAATTCTCAGAATGTGGACCATGGGTCATGAGGGTCCCTGAAACATTTTGAGAGAGTGTGTGTAGTCAAAGTTATTTTCGTAATAGTACTAGGATGTAATTGGGTTTGGCACCATCTTGACATTTGTACTGATGGTACAAAAGCAATGATGAGTAAAGCTGTTGGGTGTGTTAGCAAGAACAAAGGCAGTGGTACCCACCTTTACCAGATGTTATTAGACTCCAGTATTATGCACTTGCAGAAAGCAAATGTAACTGTTTTACTTAAGAATGACCTTGTTGAGGACTAAAAAACAATTAACTTTATTAAATCCTTACCCTTGATTAACCGTCTTTTTACTGTTCTGTGGGATGAAATGGGAAGTATACTCGTAAAATAGTTCTGCTGTATACTGAACTATCATGGGTTGTCCTGAGGAAAAGCACTTATCTGATTGTTTGGATTGTATTATAGCCACTTTTTTTTTTTCATGGAATATAATTTTTACTTGAAGGACTGACTGGCGGATGGACTAAGGTTGTGTAGACTTGGACCTTTGGCAGATGTGTTTGGAATGACCAAAGTGAGGCTGTTATTTCAAGGAAAACAATAGATAGTATTTGTTGCCAATGACAAAATTCAAACTTTTAAGAAAAAAATTGGGATTTTGGAAAACTTATATCTACTCCCTGCACCCCCACCATGACTTTGACAGCTTTTCAGGACTGAAAGACATTTCCCATAAGATAGAGGTGATACTAATGAAACTGTATAATAAAATGTGTCAGTATTTGGAAGAGCTGCATACCTTCACAAACCAATAATTTTCCATGACCAATCTATGATGTTACAAGATCCATCAAAGTATAAGAGAGACCACTGGATTTTACTTTGTTATTATTTTATTTTATTGTTTTAGAGTCAGAGTCTCGCTATGTTGTCCAGGTTGCAGGGCAGGGGTTATTCACAGGCATTATAATAGTATACTACAGCCTCAAACTCCTGGGCTCAAGCGAGTCTCCTGCCTCAGCCTCCTTAGTAGCTGGGACCATGGCTGGCTCGACTAGTGGATTTTAATGTAACAGAATTTGAAAAGTTCACTTATATGGTTTTAGATTTCACCTTGCAACTCATTTTTAAGAAACGGTTACTTATTAAATTTTGGTGTAGTATCAAAAAAAGGATATCTACAATTATATGTAAAGAGGATTAAAATACTCCTTCCTTTGATATATTTGTTATGTTTGTCATGTATTTTTGTGGGGTCAGATTTTCTTTATATACTTTAACCAGAACATCCTACAATAGACTGAATCCACAAGTAGATATCTAGCCCTCTTCTATTAAGCTGGACATTACAGAAATTTGCAAAAGCTAAAAAATGTTCCTATTATGAATTTATTCTTTGTTTTTGAAAATATATTTTTTATAAACATATTCTTTATGTTAACATATAATAGGGATTCCTATGTTTAACTTAAAATGAATTAAATATTTTTAGAGTCTCCATTTAAATTTCTAATATGGTAAATAAACACCGATAGGTAGAATTCCCATAGATAAAAGCTCTTTGAGGTTCTCAACAATTTTTAAAGGTATAAAGACCCAAAACCTGGAAAACTGCTGAGTTTAATAATCTCAATGACAAGATTAATTTGAATTTCATTACTATTCTTTGATTGTATAGGCTCACTCTCAGCGCAATTTTCTGATTTTAATTCCCCCTGGAGAAAAAGAAGCCAGAACCCAAATCCCATACACCCTAGTCCTTCCAGGAGGGGCCCCGAATTTGCAGCCAGCCTCACCCTCTTGGGGCCAAAGAGGTTGTGGTAGAGAGTCCGGAAGCGCTTGCGCGTGTAGTTGCAGCGATAAGCCCCGCCCATCAGGTACTCGATCACCAGGCCGATGTCAATCAGGCTGATTCTGTAGTCTGGGGGCAGATTCCCCTATCAGGGTAGAATGAAACAAACAAACAGACAAATCCAAAAGACAACGTGGTTTACTAGGGATTCTGGTTCATGTATTCTGTAACTAGAGTAAAAAAAATATTGAAAACAGAAACATATGAATGTATTATTATGCTGGTTAATTAATTCACCTTAAAATAGATCCAACCGAAACCTGGATACTCTCGCTTGGAAAGAAGACATAAGTTAAATAAGAAGATGCAGTAATCGTCGGCAATAATAGAAAATCAAAATATTTATTCAAGTCTTCAGCTGGGGAGAAAAAAACACCAGTGTAGAAGAAAGAAACACAAGGCTAGACACGGCAAATGCTATCACTCCCAGGCACCAGGAACTAGGTTTCCCCAAATGCTCCCCAAGCCCCTCTTTCTGCCTCTGACCCAGGCCTGTTACCACTCTCTTGATATCATTTGGTTTCTACCACCCACTAAAGGAAGACTCCTTTCAGAAGATGAGTGTCATTACCAGGGCCTCCATCAGCTGGGATTTTAGGACTCAGGTCTCCTTTACTACAAAACCTCTATCCATAATTTTAAAAAATTGATGCTTTTTTAATAAAAGAAGAGCAATATTTAGGGAGGGGATTTTGGGTGTCAGGATGAGGTTGTATATGAACATCCCTTGCATTTAAAGAGGGAGAGAAATTGGAGAAGATATTTTAGCAATGGAGTATTTATTTTTCTAGAATTGAGATTTTTTTCATTTTTTCTTTTAAAGAGAGTAACATTTCTTAAAGATCTAGAGTTATGGTGTCTTTTTTAGCTGTTTGCCATCTCTAGATGCAAAAATAGTAAAGATTTTCTTATTATTTACTCATTACTGCTTTCGACTTCTAAAGTTTAGGTTCTAAAGAAAATTTTTGCTGTTAGGCCAAGGGAGAGTTAGTTCCATTTGTGAAAAAGTCTGAGTGCACAGCGAATTCCAATCCACTCTCACTGCCTGCTGTAGCTCCTTGCAGGAGAGCGCTCTATACCATGAATGGCTGGGTGTGACACCGTGTGGGAAACCCATGCCCTTAGATCTATTTTGGACAGACACGAGGGGCTCCATCCACTTTTGTCCTTAATGAAGGACCCACCCAGGATGCTGTGAGATTTCTGCCACTTCACAGAAGACGTTCATTATGTATAGTGGTCGTTTTCCAACTTTGGTGGCATCAGAATACCCTGGGGAACTTGGTGACATTGCAAACACCTGGACTTTGTCTTACTTACTTCAATGTATCGGGGCCTCTATGTCCTTTCCTAGCTCCTCAGGTGATTCTGATGTACACCCAAGTTTGTCAAACTGCTTGTCTACTCAGTAAGGGTCTGGTGGTAGTGGTAGATTAGGCAGCAGAACTGGTAAATTCATAGTGTCAAAAGCTAATTACTTTCAGTCAGAAATTAATTAAAATTTTTTTGCTAACCTGAGGGTAGGTTTTCAGTTGTCCTTACTCAGCTTTTCTATGGGCAACTGTATTCATTTGAAGGTTTTGGGATTCAGGATTAGAGGTATCCCTCTACATCCTATCATTAAACCTATAGCTCTATATTTTTCTTGTTTGATTTATCTTTATATCCCCAGAACCTCTTATAATATGCCTGGCATATGGTGGGCACTCAGAGTGTTTTTGTTGAAAGTATAAACCAGTGAAACAGTGAAATTAATTGATGTGGTTGGGATCAAGTCTGGGTTTGGGTTGTTTAGTATTATCTTCTCAGTAACAAAACCAACTAGCCACAATCTGTTAGTCATCCCTGGTTGGAATAGCCCTAGTTCACTATGGAAATTTGCTTTGAAATACAGGTAATGCTGTATCTGGAATTCAGTGGCTATCCTCAATGGGGTGAGAGCAAAGGGATAGTAATTGAAGCACTAGCCTCAAGCATATAAGAATCCATTGCTGCTTTAAAAAAAAAAAAAAAAAAGTTTCACTCTTGTTGCCCAGGCTGGAGTGCAATGGCGTGATCTGGGATCACTGCAACTTCTGCCTCCTGGATTCAGGTCATTCTCCTGCCTCAGCCTCCTGAGTAGCTGGGACTACAGGTGTATGCCACCATGCCCAGCTAATTTTTGTATTTTTAGTAGAGACAGGGTTTTGTCACGTTGGCCAGGCTGGTCTCAAACTCCTGACCTCAGGTGATTCTCCCACCTCGGCCTCCCAAAGTGCTGGGATTACAGGCATAAGCCACCGTGCCTGGCCCATTGCTGCTTTTTAGACTTCCTTGCTGTCCCCAGAATTAGCTCCCACCCCAGGCCACTGGGTTCTACCTCTCCCTTGGCTTGAGGTACATGGCAGGCTTGGGCATCTAACTGGAGCCAGCCAGGCAAAATGGGGCGTGTAAAGGGCATCATATATGAGGGGGAGCACTTTGAGACACAGACCCCTTTTGTCCTTGACGTTGGCCCTCCATAGCCTAATCTGGCATCCATTTGATGAGCTGAATAGTCCCGTCACAAAAATGGCCTCTACCCGCCTCAGAATTTCAGAATCTCCTTTGTTTGAAGATTATCTTTATCCATCTAACTGAATCAGCAAGCTAAGCTATCCCCAGGCTAAGAAAGACCAATTGTCTGCCTTCTTTATGCAAAGCATGGCAAAAAAAATATTTAAAAAGGGAGCTCAGAGAAAGTTTTAAGATAGTAACTTTTCATGTTTTAGCCTTCCCATAAAATTAAACTGAGTTTAAAAATAGTACTAATGCAACCACTTTTCTCTATTATGTTGGGGCAGACTAACAAGGCCACAGTTTCTGTATCCTCTGGCTCTCCTGAACTGTTAGGCGAGGCTGTTATTTAAAGAGTAGAAGAGTCTCAAAGACTGAACCAGCCTGGGTGAGCCTCATTCATAGCGATGGGGCTCCTATGGGGATGACTGCCCGAGGATGCCCACCCATCGTGTCATTTTCCTTGGCAGGGTGAGGAAGAAGCACAACCAGCTTCCAGTCAGCTGCCCTGGGCTTCTCTTTGTCCTTTGGCCAGCAGACACTTTCCCTTAGGCTCTCAGATTTCTTTCCAGTGAAAGGGGCTTGAACTCCACAGCCTTTATGGTCTGCAATGTTCAAAGACCAGGTTTCAGGAAAATCCTCAAAGAACTTATTGTGATGCTATAAAAAGGCAATCAGAGCAGCTCTATAAATTTGCGCCTAGTTTTAATCTTGTAGGAATTTAAAAAATTTAAAATGTGGGCTCACGCCTGTAATCCTAGCACTCTGGGAGGCTGAGGTGGGTGGATTGCCTGAGCTCAGGAGTTTGAGACCAGTCTGGGCAACGTGGTGAAACCCCGTCTCTACTAAAATACAAAAAATTAGCCAGGCATGGCAGCGTGCACCTGTAGTCTCAGCTAGAGGCAGGAGAATTGCTTGAACCTGGCAGGTGGATGTTGAAGTGAGCTGAGATTGCACCACTGCACTCCAGTCTGGGCGACAGAGCAAGACTCTGTCTTAAAAAAATAATAAAATGAAATAAAATAAAATGTGGGTAATACCAAGCCTAACACCTATGTATTTTGCTTTGAGAAACATAGGTGTAAGCATCAGTTAGAATTCTAAAAACAAGACACCAATATTGCTTGAAGACCAATACTGAAAGGGAATATTTATGCTTTCAAGGTGTCTTTGGGAGTTGTCAGGAAAGTGATTATAGTAAAATTCAAAATCAATAAACATTTAAGGGGCAAATAGAACATTTTTAGAAAATGGCTATATCCATAAAGGACTTTTAGGGGTATATATCAGCAAGAAGGTGCTGGGATCGTCTCAAATAAAGCTTGATTCTTTCAGAATGATTTATGTTTGGTCAGCCCTGAAGGAAGATAAATGATTCCGTGACCACTGAGGTTCCTGCATTCTGTTTGACCACAAGGGGGCAATATTCACCTAACCGAAGCCAGTGAGAATTCCTCCCTCCCCAGCATTTTCCTGCCTCTTCCGTTTTTTGTTTTTTGTTTTTGTTTTTTTTTCCTTTTGAGACGGAGTTTTGCTCTTGTCTCCCAGGCTGGAGTGCAATGGCACCATCTCGACTCACTGCAACCTCTGCCTCCCAGGTTCAAGCGATTCTCCTACCTCAGCCTCCAGAGTAGCTGAGATTACAGGCATGTGCCATCATGCCTGGAGAATTTTTTTGTATTTTTAGGAGAGATGGGGTTTCACCATGTTGGTCAGGCTAGTCTCGAACTCCTGACCTCAGGTGATCCGCCCATCGCAGCCTCCCAAAGTGTTGGGATTACAGGCATGAGCCACCGCACCTTACCATCTTCTGTTTTATACATACCATAAGGCCATATAAACAAACCCAGAGTGGATGAAGGATTGGGGGCTAAGGAGTGAGTCGGATGCTCTCCTGGAAGTGATATTTGGAAGAGCAAAAATTTAACAAGTAATGTGTTTGAATTCAGCCTGCAAGGCTGGATCATATGTTTCTTCACAGAGATTTTAGGGAGCAAAGAAATTAGGGAATAACTTTTCCTTTCTTACTAGGAAGAGTGGAAACCTTCTTGGGAAAGAAGAAATCAATTTTATAACATGTATAAAATTGAGTACAATTTAGGCCTCTTGGGATAGGTGTCCTGCGTGGACTCTGAGGGGGATGGCAGCCTAAGTGCATGATATAATGCTGGGCCAATGGCCTTGATCACTGGGACCTGTGGATATCACAGATTATGCATTTGCATTGCTTCTCCTAGGATGGGTATTGCCAGGCAGAGGGGACTTTATGGATACTCATTCAGAGAGCAGCCAGCAACATGACCCCACAGGAGAAACAGCCTTGGGTTGGGCCATGGCCCTGACCCCATGTGACCCTGGCCAGATCACTTCCTCTCTCTGTACCTCAGTTTATGTTGTGAAAATAGGTGGCTTGGACACAGTAACTTCTAAGATCCTGTCTATTTCTAAAAATCCAACTATATGACTACTACCTGGCAGGCTGCTCTTACTCCTTTCGGCCCACTGGTCAAAGACCCTGTTCAGAGCTTCCAAGGTTGATGTAGCTTCCAATGATCCCCTAGAGTTTGATTAGTGGAACCAGAGGCTTGGAGACAAGGGGTGGTAAAAGGATAGATGGGGATGGGGTGGTGCTCAGTGCATCCAGCTCCTCTGGAAAAAGCAGAGAAGGTGAGCAGCACCTCACATGCCAACAGGTAAAGCCCAAACACCTTCTGGAGGAGTCTTCCTTTGCTTGGGTCCTTTTCAAATTAGAAGTCAAAAGGGATACTGGAGGAACAGTCATTCTGCCTGCTGTTTCTGTTCTAGCACTTCCCCCACCCCCTTCGGTAATGACTTTGGTAACTGGTAAAGCCTGAACTATTATTTCCCATTTCATGCCTTAACAATGGGAGGTCATGTGATTCAAATAATTTGCTAGACAGGCTTGAGTTCTATGGGTAGGTACAATTTGACAACTTGAAAATGTTGTCTTCTTTTTTCATGCTATGAACTACTAACCTGAAGCTAAGGTTTACTTCGTGCCATGCATAAGGAAACCTTTTCATTAAAATGATAGTTTAAATTCACTAATTAGATCTGCTCTTCAAAATGATTGGGGTTTTTCAGATGTCAGCTCATGATATCACTATCAGATCTCAACTGCTTAGGAAAACTTTTTTCCTTTGAAACTCATAACAAGCCTTCAAAACAAGATTGGTTCCTTCTGATATACATAAGGTATGAAATGATTGCTGGTTGTCAGGTTTACCAAGGGAGTGTGAAGAAAAGACTCCCCTGGGACAGCTTGTACAATAAAGAAAAGTGGACTGCAGTTGGTGTGAGTAATCACCCGGTAGGGACTTCAGCTGGTGAAAGCTCAGGGGAAAAGAGGACATCACCCCAGTGTGCAGTCCCATAACATGGCGATATATTGGGCAACCAATCCTCTGAAATATAATAATGCTTTTGCAAATTTTCATGCATTTAGCAGATGGGATTATGCAAATGTCCTTTCCTTACCCAAAGTGTGTCTGAAATGCTTTTTTTTCTTTTGCATTCTGAAAAGCTCTGGGTCTTAATTCCCATGTAAATGAACTTTAAATTATCATAATTTCACCACTACTTCTACATAATACTCAAATAGCATCCTCCTTTGGTGGGGAAGGATAGTATAGGTAATTTGAAGTATTAGCACATTTAAGAAAGGAAAAAACTACTTTAAAACATACAGAGGCACAAATTGAGCAGACAGCTACTAAAATGGCAGGTTATATTCCACAGAAAAGCAGACAGACTTGGGCCACTCTGGTTTAATATGAGAGCATTGGTACATTCAATGGATTTATGCATGAAAATAGTTCAGAGAACTGGGTTGGTTTAAAACAATTTAAATTTCTGATTAATGCTGAAGAGCCACTCTTTTTACCTCATTGCTCCTAGATTGTTCCCTTGATATAAATAATTTGAGATTTCAAAACAAGCTTGGGAGCAATTCCCCACATTCAGCTCTGTTGGTCTCAAAGAAGAGGTGAACTAGAGATGTCATGCTGATTGACTTATGATGTTCTGATAATTCCTCAATGCATTCCTTTGGTTCTTAAGAGTTATTTACACACAATTTTACAGATGTATTATCAAACACTATGCTTAAGGTCTAGGACTGTGTTCCTAACTCATGAATAGCATTTTGTACCAGAGTTAATAACTTATTCATTAATTTTTTTACAGATTAAACATATATGCACACATATATTTGCCCCCATAATGGTAAAGAAGAAAGCACACATTAATTATTATTATGTTCCTTAATTTTGAAAATTGCTTTAAGTTCCCAAGATTTTCTTAGCATTTTAACTCTAGTTTCGCAGCCTTTGATTATCTCATTGGCCTAAATTGCTGGCAGTCACTTGAAACCACCTGAAAGTCACCTGAAAATTGCTGAAAGTCACCTGAGAAAGTTGTACACCAATGTTAATTTCTCCCTTATTCACTTCTTCCCCAAACACCAAACAAACAAAAATCTTCATTTTCAGCTCCCTTAATCCATATAACATAAAATGTAGGCACTGAGACTCCTGTGACTACCATTGTTCATCTTTCTTGCTCTCCCATTGTCGGATACTTACCGTCATCCTGGAAATAATGAATTCTGCATTTCCTGCTTCTACTTTTTCCCAAGGGAAGAAATTAAACATTGGCTTTCTGTTTCTCCCTGTCTTACTGGCAGTCTCTTTTTCCAGGTAAAAGGATAAATTATTTCTAGGCCAGTTCAGTACTATTCTTGGTCATTTGTTATCATTTTTTCCAGTTACTAAATTTGTAAGTAAATGGTAAATGCATGCTTATATAATGATTTTCTTGCTCTAATATTTGGATCATACTTAAAAGGAAAAAAAAATAGTTGCTTTTAATCCTTCTTCCTCCCAAATTCTTACCATCCTGTTCTTTCTTGTTAGTATATATTATTTTTGAGGTACATCTTTAGCTGAGAAGCTACAAAAAACCCTATCTTAGAGATACTTTACATGCCTTCTAATAATACAAGTGACGTGAGCAAATGTAAAAGGCAGCTCAAGGGACTTCAGAAAAGAGAAAACAATATTGCAAAGCAGAGTCCTATGGGGAAAAGAAAGTAATGAGAGGGATTTTAATCATTTATACTCAGTGAAATCTAACTGCAAAAAATCCCTTTGAAAATCAGACAAGACATTATTGCTGGGAGGCTGGGTCATTGAATTGGATGAGCGACTCTTTTTAAAGGTTTGGGTTGGTGATGACTGGGATTGAGGGATAAAGGCATAGCTGTCTCTTTAGAAAACCTCACAATTCCTTCAGGGACAGAGATTAACTTAAGGAAGGAGAGAATACCCCAAGTCATTACTTTAGAAAAACTCAAAACATTTGATTGAACATGAGCAACAACTATCTCACTGAAGAAGACACATCAAATGTGTCTACTTCTAATCTTCTTAGTTTTCAGGCAATTTTAAGCCAGGATGAATTAGACAAAATTGGAAGGTTCAAAGAAAAGAGAAATGGGTTTGTTGAAGGCAGATCTACTACGATGGCATGGAATGGGCAGACCAGTGAAAGATACAATCTCAGGAAAGTGGTTGTTGAGTTGGGAGTACAGATTGCATAGTGTCTTCTCCCCTTGTTTTGAAAGAACTACAGGCTTCACCCACTCAAGCAGATGAAAAGTCCTTCATGAGATGGGAGGAAAGTTTGCAAGGGCCAAAGGATGGAGATTTTGATTTTTTTGTGTGTTATTTTTATATCCTTTACTCATTCTTAGCAAAGGTCCAGCAGGTGAATAGGTACATTATAAGTAGCCCAGGGCCTTTGCTTGGCCTTTCAAAGGAAAAATGAAAATGTAGTTACATGATGCCTAAGGGCAATTCTAGCCAATCACTTCCTGTGAGATGAAGGAATCATACTGTATTTTTGACTTCACTTTGTAGCTTTCTCTGAATATGTCCTGTGGACTTTCGTGAACAATTGTTACCAAGTGGTGATAGTGGGCATATGTGTGCATGTGTGTATGGGCACATCTCTATGGGGCGGGGGCAGTGCCATATTCTGTTTTATTTTTTGGAATTAAAACATCACTTTCTGGGATGGGTTTAAGGGTTCAGAAGTCAAGCTACCTCTGAAGGAGATAATATGGGGCAAAAGAACAAGCACTTGGCTAAGATTAAACAGAATCTCCCTATGCCTCATTCTTCTTGTCTTTAAATGGGAATAAAACTACATTATAATAATAAAATAATAATTTTTTTTTAGATGGAATCTCACTCTGTTGCTCAGGCTGGAGTGCAGTGTGCGATCTTGGCTCACTGCAGCCTCTACCTCCCAGGTTCAAGTGATTCTCCTACCTCAGTCTCCCAAGTAGCTGAGATTACAGGTGCATACCACCACACCCGGCTAATTTTTGTATTTTTAGTAGAGACAGGGTTTCACCATGTTGACTAGACCAGGCTGACCTTGAACTCCTGACCTTAGGTGATCCACCTACTTTGGCCCCCCAAAGTGCTGGGATTACAGGCATGAGTAACTGTGCCTAGCCTGTAATAATAAAATAATAATTCTATTTCATAGAATTGTTGTGACGATTAAATGAGTTAAGATGCACTCAAAGTATGCAGCAATGCTGTATACCTAGTCATCACTAGCTCATGACTATTATTATTTTATCATTATTAATAAAAGAAACTGAGCTTTAAACCTAGCTCTTCACTAACCACCAATATAGCTCTCATCTCCTTGTAGTTCGGCTTCCTCATCTGTAAAATGAAAATAATGCTACCTGATCCATACGTATCAACACTTTTTTCCCATCCAATGAGATGACAAGTGTGAAAAAGTATTCTGGAAAAAATAGAATGTTAGAAGAATGGAATGCATACTTATGTTTTAGTCCCTGTTTTTAGAAAATTTGGAGCTATGCTTACTGACTACACTCTATGTAATGGTAGATGTGACATTGTATCAGGAGCTGGTGAATGAAAATTTACTCTTGTGGTCAGTCAGGCAGCATGGAAACCAGCTCCCCAAACAGTGAGGGGCATATGGAAAAATACAGGTAATGGCATAAATCCACTTGGCAAGGGAAAAGCTGAGAGTTCCACTACCCAAAAGCATTATGTCCAACAAAAGCATCTAAAAGCACGGCGATTGGTGATAACACCACAGCTGCATCATGAACAGAAGCTTCAGAGTTAAAAGACACACGCACACACACTGTTCCGAAATGAGGGGCACCTGATAGGGACAGGAATACTCTGGCAGCTCATGCAAAACAGAGGCACTCTCTAATCACAGGAAGCAGTCAAGACAGGGCCTCCGACCTGCAGTCGAGAGGGTTCTTACCTTTTTGACATCCCTGACCAAGTGGTACAATGTATTTGAGGGCCCATGTCTCTGAAAACAATAAAGAAGAATCAAACAGTTTTGCTAGTCAGGGGCTCTGGTTGGCAAGGCAAGAAGGATCTGGAAGGAAGGGCTCTGGCTGGTGGAGGGCAGGTCACTAAGATGGACCTTGTTTTAGTTGCTCAGTGTATCTGCCTTTTCTTTCTTTCTTTTACATTGTCCCCATTTGCAGATGAAAAGCTTTGTCAGTGACTTTTGTTTTGTTTTGATGCAGGTTCTTCTGTTACCCAGGCTGGAGTGCAATGGCGTAATCACAGCTCACTGCAGCCTCGAACTCTTGGGCTCCCTTTAGCACCCTGAGTAGCTGGGACTACAGGTATACAACACCATGCCTGGCTAATGTTTTTATTAAAAAATTATTTTTAGAGATGGGATCTCACTATGTTGCCCAGGCTTGTCTTGAATTCTTGGCCTCAAGCAATCCTCCCACCTCAGCCTCCCAAAGTGCTGGGATTATAGGCATAAACCACCACACTGGCCATACCTGTTTCTTCTAAACAAACACGTTGGCAGATTTTTGAATTGTATTCCCTCAAGCAAATGTATTTGAGGTTCTAGGTTCAAACTTTGTAAGGGAGGTTGTCAACTCTGTTGACAGCTGGGCCAAAATGTGATGGAAGAAGCCAGTTTTGCAGCCGGGGGCCGGGATGAGGGTGGGAGAACAATAGGCCCCATTGACCGCATTGGAAATACACTTGGGCACTTTGCCATCGCAACTTGTTTATTACTCATCATGAATGAGAAATTGTCTAAGAAGAAGGTTGGCCAACTTTTTCTGTAAAAGGCCTGAGAGTTAATACTTTAGACTTTGTGGGTCACACAGTGTTTACTGAAACTGTTCAACCCTGCTGTAGTAAATGTGCAAGTAGCCATAGCTCATATGTAACAAATGAGCCTGGTCATGATTCAATGAAATTTTAATTATTGGCACAGAAAGTCAAATTTCATATTATTTTAATGTGTCTTAGAATATAGCATTTTTCTTTTGATTGTTTCAACCATTAAAAATGTAAAAAAAAAAAAAAATCTTAGCTTGCAGTGCATACAGAGATAGGCAGCAGGCTGGATTTGGATGACAGTTTGCTGCAACTTGATTTAAAGAAAAAGCCACAGACTGTTTGGGAAAAAAAGAGTTTTGTAAAAAAGATGGATGTTTGTTTGAGGTAAATATAAAGTGAAATAAGTTGCCATTCTATTGTCTTTTAGGAATAGGAACGTGAGATAAAATCCAAGATGCCTAATTAAATTTGAATTTCAGATAAACAACGTACAATTTTAACCTAAGTATGTCCCATGCAATCTTTGGGATATAACAAAATTGTCTGTTGTTAATCTGAAATTCACATTTAAGTGGGCATTCCTGCATTTTATTTGCTAAATCTGGTTAGATTATTAGAGAATCTAAAATAGTGATGGCTTTTTTCTTTCTTTTTTTTTTTTTTTAGTTGGTCTTGCTCTGTCACCCAGGCTGGAGTGCAGTGGTGTGATCTCAGCTCACTGCAACCTCCACCTCCAGGGTTCGAGCAATTCTCCTGTCTCAGCCTCTGGAGTAGCTGGGATTACAGGCATGCACCACCACGCCCAGCTAAATTTTGTATTTTTAGTAGAGATGGAGTTTCATCATGTTGGCCAAGCTGGTCTCAAACTCCTGACCTCAAGTGATCCGTCCGCCTCAGCCTCCCAACCTGCTGGGAAGCCACTGCACCCAGCCAATGGCAAATTCTTAAGCACTTTTGCAACCATTCAAGTATTTAGACAGGTCTATGAACTGCTGCAATGACCTGCCCATTCATGTGGACATGCCCATCAGAGCTCTTTTTCCACTGAGGGGATGCTAGATTGTGCAGTGATTGAACCTACAGACTCTGGAGTCAGAGTGCCTGCCTCTACACCTCTGCCGCTTACCGGCTCTGAACGTGGGCAAGCTACTTAACTGTGACTCAGTTTTATCATCTTTAAAATGGGAATGATAGTATCACTTTATCTGATGGGGTTGTTGTGAGGATTAAATGATATAATGTTTATAAAGCTATTAAAAATGGTGCTTAATGCCAATCAGTGTTAGCTATTATTATTACTGAGGCTATTTACTGTTCCATAATCCTCAACAAAGTATTCTGGGAAGCCACCACCAGCAGATTGAAGTGATCAAACTTACTGGCCTTTCTCAGTCTAGAATTTTCCTACCCCCCCACCCCCCGCCCCAGTCTTTGGAATAAATTACTCTACTCCCTTGATTCTCTAATTGATAGGCCATTCAACGCTTGTCTCTATTTATTCATTTTTTCAAATTGAAAACCCATCATTCTTCCTCAAAGTCTCAGTATGCTGAACCAAGAAAAGTCTGTGGAGAAAACAGAAACCAGGAGCCATTCTGCTAACCCGTTTCTATTTTTTGCAGATGGTGCCACGGTGGTACCATCTAACAACTACCACTGCCTGGGGACAGGAAGTAAGCTCCATCCTGCTTGCCCTCTGCGTGATGGGACAGAGATGTTGTGAAAATGAGGGGCAGAATAATCTCAGAGACAGAAGCTTGGGTTCAGTACTTACTGGCTTCTTTCTTAGGAGTTTTGTGACCTTGAATTCACCTTGGCCTCTACGGTTTGAATGTTTGTGTCCTCTCCAAAATTCATGCGGAAACTTAATTTCCAATGTACTAGTGTTAAGAAGTGGGGCATTTAACATGTATACCTGTGTAACGAACCTGCACATTCTGCACATGTATCCTAGAACTTAAAGTATAATAATAATAATAGAAAAGAAGTGGGGCCTTTGGGAGGTGATCAGGTCCTGAGGGTTCCTCCTCTGTAACGGGGATTAAGGCCGTTATAAGAGAAGCTTCACACAACATTCAGGCCTTTTGCCCTCTGTCTCTTCAGCCTGTGAGGACACAGCGTTTGTCCCTTCTGGAGAACGCAAAAACAAGGTGCCATTTTGGAAGCGAAAAGCAGCTTTTGCGAGACACCAAACTTTCCAGAGCCTTGATTTTAGACTCTCCGGCCTCCAGAACCCAGAGAAATAAATTTCTGTTGTTTATAAATTACTGAGTCTCAGGTATCTTGTTACTGTAGTACAAATGGACGAAGACAGCCTCAGTTTCCTCATTTGTTAAATGGGGGAAAAATTTCTGCTCTTTAAACTTCACTGGATTTTAGTATGAGCTCAGAGCCAATGCTCTTAACGAGTGTGAACGCTCTCAATAACTTCATCAACAGTAGTTTTACCTACGATTACTCCTTGGTATCCCTAGTGAGTAAATTACCAAATCATTACTAAGCTTAAAAAACAAACAAACAAACAAACCCAAAATTTTTGAGTAACTCCAAAGAGATATTTTACCTTTTATTCCATTTTATAGCTGAACTATGAAGAATGAACTTCATAGCTCTGAGGATAACAAAATGGTGTAGGATACTTAATTGGCCTTTTTTGATGCTTAGAGTTAAATCAATCCTCCTTTGCTAATTGCCTCTAACACCCTCTGGCCTTACAGAACAAACTGTGTTCTCATTTCCAGAGCCTTGTGGTTTTGTGTAAGAATATGAGAATGACACACTCAGGTTATCACACAACTTTTTGCCTTAGATGCTGACAACTGAGCAATTAAAACAAGCGGAATCTTGGTGACTTGGTGTTTGTCATCTATGTAGGTCTAAGGGAGTATTTATGATCAATGAACCATGCATTTGGAGAGGAGAAGGGAAGAGAATCACAGGCATATGGGGGGCAGGAGGAGGTAAAACAAACGAACAAAAAAGAAAATAAAAAGTGCCTTAGTTTGGCCCTACCGTATTGTACAATTCCTCTAGTCTGGAGATGGTGAGAAAACGGTGCATGCTTACTCCATTCTCTATGAGTAATTTCACAAAATCCACTCTGTCCAGAACTAAGGCATCCAACATGGCTTGCTCCAGAGATCCCACCTGCAAACCAAGTCGCTGAGTTAGTCTGCCCCAGGGTCTATCTAGGACTGCAGTTCTTTAGTGCTCACTTGAACAGCTTAGAAAGGGATGCCTTTGACATCTGGTAAACCTTCATCACATCTAAGAACATGCTAGCAAGACTGTTCACAGATTCACTTTTGGGACAGCCACACCTCTCCCATGTTTGGGGGCCTGTCTTTGCAAATAAAAGTCAAGCATTTCTAGTTCCAAAAAACTATTTCTTCCCTGAATCTCTTGTTCTGGATCTCAAGAAGGTGCAAGTGTTCACAAGGCTTTTTCCCCTTGCAATTATCTGATCAAACGTCTCAACACCAGTGAAGTGTCAAAGGGGGTACTTTGCTGTCTTCATTTTTGTTATCCTTAGGCTCTGAGGGAGACCACAGGCCGACTTGAGAGGAGGGTCCCAAGTCAACAGACTAAAGGCCCTAACTCAATGCTGGGTCTCTGTGTAGAAACAAGACCACAAAGATGTCACTGAACTGAAAAACAAAACAAAACAAAACAGAACAAAGCAGAACAACCAGCCTACTTTCTGGATTTGCCAGTGGCTTAGATTTTTATTCAATTCATTTCACAAAAATGTCACAGGGTCTAGACTCTAACAAATCTTTCCATGTTAGCAATCCACCAGCACTGAGTGAAGACAGGGCTCAAGCCCAGGCAGAGACTCTCTAGGGGAAAGGAAGTAGTAAGATAAGGCCTGCCAGTGAGTGCTGTGATTCCAAGCACAGACATCAAGTTTCAGGCTGCTGGGCTGCCTCCTGTGGACACATACATATACCACCTGATGGCCAATCTCTCAAATTTTTATTTTTGGTAGAGTCAATTGAGGGAAGCAAACCAAGAACAGTTATATAAAGCATTGGTTTCCTCATGTTGTTCTTTGCAAATGGGGAGGACCTGTGCTCAGCTACCAGGACCAGATGGTGCCTGCACAGGGAGGCCTGCTAATTCTGCATCCTGAGGTGTGACCCAGCCATAAACCAGCAGGGGCTGCCACCACTTGGGCAGCAACCTCTTCCCTTTGCCTCTATCAAAGACAATCAGAAGCAAATTAATAATTCTACCTCTTCCTTAATTTTAATACAGCTTTGTCTTATATTTTTTTCAGATGTATTCAAATAAATGGCATCATTTGCAGCTGAAAATTGCTATTAAAGACAACTCACAGAGACGGAAATATTTGGAGTTGTGTTCAGTCGAAATTTCCACTAGATGGCGGTGCTTTCCTAAATATGAGAAAAGGAGCCCAGGACAGGGACTTGGCTGCCAAGGAACACGTTCCATCTTAAAGAAAAGGCAATCATTTTCTGAGCCCATCTCAGAGGCTCCTTAAACAAATACCCTTGCCCAACCAAAGTGGGCTTTTCACGGGTGACGACATATACTCTACCGGCCACTGTTGCCCGTAAATAAAGATCTGGCTGCGAGCGATGTCAACTCTGTTCCAGGCTAAAGCTAAGCTCAGTTGGTCTGGGGCCGAGGCATTGGCTCCTGTGTGAGGACAAGTGGGAGAAAAAGAGTGGAAGAGAGAAAACAACGATCAGTTATTACACCAAGAGCACCTGCTCCATCCCTCTGCCATTAATGCCCCTATTCCTGAAGAACCGACTTGGCTATCCAGCAGGTTTCTCAAACTTGGTGTTATTGACATTTTGGGTAACTCTTTGTCACGGGGCTCTCCTGTATATTGTAGATTATTATTACAAATTTTTTTAACTTTTTTTTTTTTTTTTTTTTTTTTGAGACGGAGTCTCGCACTGTCGCCCAGGCTGGGGTGCAGTGGCCGGATCTCAGCTCACTGCAAGCTCCGCCTCCCAGGTTTATGCCATTCTCCTGCCTCAGCCTCCCGAGTAGCTGGGACTACAGGCGCCCGCCACCTCGCCCGGCTAGTTTTTTGTATTTTTTAGTAGAGACGGGGTTTCACTGTGTTAGCTTTTTAAAAAGGGTCTTTGAAGCTCCATGCTTTTTTGATATATAATACTTGTACATGTTTATGGTGTGCATGTGATATTTTGATGCATGCATACAAGTTCATTGTAGATTATTAATAGCACACTTTGACTGAACCCAGTAGATGTCAATAGCACTTCCCATCCCCATCCTCCCAGACATGATGCTCAAAAATGTATTCAGACATTGCCAAATGCCCCCATGTGTGAAGGGAGCAAAACTGGCCTGGTGAGCAGCACTGCTCTACGGTCTGGCTAGGCAAAGTGTGGTTCACAGAGCAGCTGCAGCAGCGCCACCCTGGCACTTGTTAGAAATGCAAGCCTCAGGCCCTGTCCCAGACCTACTAAACCAGAATCTGTGTTTTCACAAGATCCCAGATGACTTGTGTGCACACTCAATTTCGAGAAGCTCTGCTCTACCACACATTTTGCTTCTGCTGGCCAATCACTAGTTTCAAGGCATCCCTTGAATAGTATTTTGCATGGGAAGGGTGCTCTCATCAACTAGTGTACCAACTTGCCATTTTCCTGAAAAAGAGTTAGGAAGGTCTTTTAACAGAGAGGAAAACCAGTGGCTTAGGTTTACTTTGATTTGTGGGTAGAAGCCATTGGAACTATTTCTCAGGTTCTCATTTTTCTCCAGATTCTGTCTCTAGAGCTGTGCGGTTCACAGATGGCTAAGTTTAAATTAATTAAAATTAAAGAAAATTAAAGTTATAATTCCTCAGTCAGGCTAGCCACATTTTAATAACTTAATAGTTCCATGTGGCTAGTAACTATTGAACTGGAAAGCACAGATATAGAACATTTCTATCATCACAGGAAGTTCTATGAGCCCAGAGCTCGCCTAGGTGAATGCATCCTGCCCATAGAGGCAGCCTGCCAAGCAGCTGGAGGGGAAGCTGGAAATGGAGGCAGTGCAGTAACTAAAGGAACATTAGGCTCCAGGCAGGAGGTCCAAGTGAGAGTCCCTGTGGCTGTATGGACTCCTCTCAGCCACTGTGGATCATCTGTAAAATGGAGGCAATAAATATTATCCAGTTTGCGTGGCAGGGGTGTGAGACTGAAATGATACTGTATAAGTGAATTCATGTGTAAACAGGTTTTTCACAATTCACCAACACCCTTAGTTCACTGAAGAAGAGACACCTCTAAATATTTGCCCAGCTTCATGCTGCTGGATATCTCATGATCAGGGAGGAGGATAAAGACACAATCTTCCTTGGCTCAGAGTTTTTAAACATCATACATGTGCTGGGCAAAGTATTAGGCACTTCCACATGTCAGATGTAACATCCCAATTAATCTAGGGACTGGGTCTTATTGTCTCCTGTCTCACTGAAACACATGAGACTACTGAGATCCAGGAAGGTGGAATAGTCAAGGATAAAACAGCTACTAACAGGGTAAGTGTAACAAGTATTCATCCAACCAGAGGTGAGAGTCAGATCCGGAGAATTCTTCTTCATCATTGTTGCTTCTGATGTTTGGGAAAGAAAGATAGCAAATGTGTACGCTGGTCACTCCTCTGGGTTCGCCAGCAGTCAAGGCCGGAAACAATGAGGAGGGGGGCAGGGTTCCTGGTGGTTAACTCAGATCACTGATTCCCAAACTTTGCTGCACATTAGAATCACCTGGGAAGCTTTGCTCAGGGTGCATCCCATACCAATTAAATCATGTTGCTTGGGATCCAGACGTGGATATTTTTAAAGCTCTCCAGGTGCTTCCAATATGCAGCAGAGGCTGGGAACTACTGCGCTGTGTGCCTCCTTTCCTGCTTACCCTCGCCTCTTCCCTCTGGGCTCCGAGATACTGACATTATACATTAGGCAAAAAATATTTGCTAGTGAATACTTCTCAAATTTTAGCATGCGTAAGTACAACTCGGAGAACTTTTTAAGACACAGGTTCTTGGGTCCCAGCTGCAGACCTGATTCAGTAGCTCTTGGGTGGGGCCTAAGGTTCCGTGTGTCTAACAAGCTCCCAGATGAGGCCGCTGCTGCTGATCTGGGGCCATGCTTTGGGTAACAAGGCCCTTGAGAGCTGTGGTGCTCTGTTCCCTTCATAGGTTGAAGAGCATTTCTGATTCTGGTGTCCACACGTTAATGCCCTTATTATTGACCACATACTTGAAGTAAATTTATTAGTATTTACAATGATGAATATCATTTCAGCTTTCACCTGGAATTTTCCATTAAAAATTATTTATCTCCTCAGGTAACAACAGGGACTGCACACTCATACCAGGGTAACTGGCATACACAAGTGATAAGTAGAAATGTGTCAAAATATACTGTCATCAATTTGGGGAGGAAAAGAAGTGAAGGCTCATTGCGATTGCTTTTGGAAAGGTAGCACTTTAGGTGTTCCTTTGCTTCTTTGGCTGGTCTACTGGTTGGTGCTGACTTGCTGGAAAGGTTTAATCATTCCCTTTGCCATTTGTATGTTACAAATTAGTATATCACTCAAGTCAATAATAGCAGCTCAAGCCTGAACAGGGACACATAGGAGGAAGCAGTTATTGAGGTCAAGGTGAGCTACAGGCCTGAATGTAATTAGGCAAGTGTCAAATGAAAGCGTGAAACCAACGAATCTTGACTTTCAAACATTGAAAATACATCACTCAAGAATGGCCGTGGGTGACAGTTCGGATCAGTGGTTCTCAGCTAGGGTGACCAGCCATCCAGGCTTGCACAGTGTAGTCATAGTGTTAGCATTTAAATTCCGGCACTCTGGGAGATGTGTCAATCCTGAATAAACCTGGTGGCTGGTCACCCTATTCTCCACTATGGCTGTGCACTTGGAATTGCCTAAAGAGCTTTAAAATATACTCATGCCTGGGGCACACCCCCACAGATTCTAGTTTAATTGGTCCTGGGCATTGCAGTTTTTAAAAGTTCCCCAGTGATTCTAATGTGAGGATAAAATTAAGAATGCCTAGTGTAGATAGCATATGTTCATTCATTCACTCATTCATCTGTTCGTTCATTTAATTATTTATGCATTCAAAGATAATGATTTTATGCCTCCTCATATGGGAGGCAATATGCCAGCATGAGGACCAAGATGTATAAAGCAAAATACTTTGTCTTGAGAGCTTACAGTCAAGAGGAGAAGTCTGTAATTAAATACATTCTTTCATGCAGTAATTCATTTATCTCCTCAACAGATATTCATTGAATACTTTCTCTGCTGGGAACTGATTTGTCATTGAACATCCAGTGACAAACAAAGTAGCTAAGGTCAACCTCTTCACAGAGCTTACGTTCTACTGGTAGCAGGGAAGTACTCGGAAGTAAGCAAATAAACTCATGAACAGCATACTTTCAGACTATTATAAGTGCTGTGAAGGAGCAGTGCCACTCCTCGGGTATGTGGGACCTGTGCTTATAGAAACAAATCAATGTAGCAGAACCATTCTGATTATCCGATCTTGCATGTCCCCATGACAGAAGTATTTTGCCAATTGGCTGGAGCAATCTGATGGCCAGGCTGCCCTCCTGAAATGAGGGCTAAACATGGAGTCATTGGACAACCAACGACAAAAACCACATGATTATCTCAATAGATGCAAAAAAGGCCTTCAATAAAATTCAACACCCTTCATGCTGAAAACTCTCAATAAACTAGGTATTGATGGAATGTATCTCAAAATAATAAAAACTATTTATGACAAACCCACAGCCAATATCATACTGAATGGGCAAAAGCTGGAAGTATTCCCTTTGAAAATTGGCACAAGACAAGGATGCCCTCTCTCACCACTCCTATTCAACACAGTATTGGAAGTTCTGGCCAGGGAAATCAGGCAAGAGAAAGAAATATGGGGTATTCAAACAGGAAGAGAGGAAGTAAAACTATTTCTGCTTGCAGATGACATGATTGTATATTCAGAAAACCCCACCGTTTCAGCCCCAAATCTCCTTTAGCTGATAAGCAACTTCAGCAAAGTCTCAGGATACAAAATGTGCAAAATCACAAGTATTTCTATACACCAATAATAGACAAACAGAAAGCCAAATCATGAGTGAACTCCCATTCACAATTGCTACAAAGAGAATAAAATACCTAGGAATAAAACTTACAAGGGATGTGAAGGACCTGTTCAAGGAGAACTATAAACCACTGCTCAAGGAAATAAGAGAGGACACAAACAAATAGAAAAACATTCCATGCTCATGGATAGGCAGAATCAATATTGTGAAAATGGCCATACTGCCAAAAGCAATTTATAGATTCAATGCTATTCCCATCAAGCTACCATTGACTTTCTTCACAGAATCAGAAAAAACCTATCTTAAATTTCATATGGAACCAAAAAAGGGCCTACATAGCCAAGACAATCCTAAGCAAAAATAACAAACCTGGAGGCATCACACTTCCTGTCTTCAAACTATACTACAAGGCTACAGTAACAAAAACAGCATGGTATGGGTACCAAAACAGATATATAGATCAATGGAACGGAGCAGAGGCCTCAGAAATAATGCCACACATCTACAACCACCTGATCTTTGATAAACATGACAAAAACAAGCAATA